ACTTGGAATTAAAACCTTAAAGTACCAGTGTTTTCAGACATGCGCCGAATGGTTCCACCGTTTCCGCTCCGGCGACACGAGCATGGAAGAGATCGGTTCTTCAATGCTCTCCGCGCGTCCGGTCCAAGAATCCATTGAAGAGAAGTTGAAGGCGGTGGACAGCGAAAGCCGAATCTCGTCGAGGAAAATGGCTGAGCAATTGGGTAGGTGATTTCAAGGTAGTCTTACATACTTCGTTCAGCTTTTAAAATTTTTACATTATACAAAAAAATGATAATTGTTAAATTGCGTCTATTTTGAACAACAAATTACGATGGGTATATGCTGATCCTAAAGTACCTCTCGATCTTTTGCACCTTTGGACTCTTGTTTTGGCATTGCCTTGTCGTGCGCACGTGCTATCAACCAGAGTCCACCGGCGCTGTGGAAACCGGATAGCTTGAAAAACGCGATTTCGTAAACTACGAAATTTATTTGGGATGATAGCTAGGCACTCGAAAATAAATCTGATTAAACCTATAACATATACCTTTTTTCATAGCTTCATATTCCAGGCGTCCCCCACCAAACCGTCCTCAAAAACCTGAAGGTCATCGGCCAGAAGGCCAAGCGGGGCCAGTGGAGCCCGGAGGCGAACAAGCGCAAGTCGAACATCGCCCAGAACCGGCGATTCTCCGCTCATAAATGAGAACCTTCCGTTTTCCCAACGACTTCGTTAAGTTTTACACGCGAGCTTTGAAGGGAGCGTGCCAGTAACGGCTCCATAAAGCTTCCCGGCGCTCCCCCTTTAACCGTTCATTCTCGATCCATTCTGGACATTTCCTCATTCCTGTAGTTTCCAATATCTATCACTTCATTTCCCTTTCCCCTTAAAAATGACATGTGCAATTCGCTTTTCAAAAGCTGTCTTTTTCTATTCTCGAATGTTTTTTACTAGCCTTGTTGCTGTAGTACCTGCTTGCTAGCAATTAATTCGCCGTATTTGTATAACTCGGGCGCTGTATCTTGCGTTTTTTACTCTCTGTTTCTCTCTCTCTCTTTCTCGCTCTCTCTCTCTCTCTTTCTCTTCCTCTCTCTATTCCATGTACGCATGCTTAGCATGAGCTTGCACACCGCTTCTCTGTACCGCCATAGCCTAAAATTCCGAACGACAATACGACCAGAACTTGTATCATATTCTACGTGTTGATGATACCTTCCAAATACGGAAATTCTCCGATTTTGATTTCAATTAACTTTAAATCATCTGAAATTTTGCTACTTTGGACCAAATAAATCGTTTTCTCCTGCAAGGGGTGCAAAAATATTTCATGGTTTACAGAAGTTTGCAACCGCCGCAGAAGGCAAAAATGAATGCAATTTTAAAATTCGCGTCATTGCATGTCTTTTAACGCTAAGACGCGCTTAATGAAAAATTTTAGACCTGAAATAAACAACAATAAGATAACATTAAATTTCAAACGTAATAGACATGCTCCAAAAAGGTGAATTTGGCTTTGGCTTACACTACCCAAAACCGCTGATTTTGCCAATGTCGTTAGATTCTTTGTCTTGTAATCTTTAGTAAGTCTGGCATAAGTAAGTAGTAGTCTTCTTAAAATTTCCATAAGTTGTAGCTCTTCTAGAGTACAAAAAACTTTATTCTCGCAATGTCCTTGAGCTTGAAAACGAGTAATTTTTGACGTGTTCACTTAGTTTGATCATCAGAATCAAAAAAAATAGATATCAAAATGCCATGGTTCCGAAAGTGAAAAGCATAATGGGGGCGAGGACGAGATCGGCAGTGTGCACGGGGCCATCATAACATATTAGTTCTGATGTGGAAAAGGCATTAATAGACAGTGTTTTTGATACAAGAAAAACAATCCAGTTTTTGATGAAAATGAGGGCAACGCAAAATAGAACCGGTCTAAAATTTCATAAAAATGCCGAGGAAATGTTGAGAAGATACGGAGAACTACGAAAAAATATAATTACAAACGATAAACCGGAAAAATCTGATAGCTCAAGCCCAAATTCCTTCAGACTCATCGAGCTCGGCAGAGTTGACCATGGCGTCACCTGAAAAATATTCAAGTCAGGCTTGGATTTTGTGTATCCCGTAAAATTGGCATATCAGCGATAGCCTATACCTCTTTTTAAACCAATTTTTCAGAGTGTTTTACAGTAGCAGGAAACTCTTGTAGCCGGAACCGGCTTAAAGAAACATTTTTCAAAAATTGCAACAAAATTTTCCAGTTTTCACCAGTTAACAGTATTTTTTAGGAATTTTGGAAATTCATTTGTGCCTATTCTGCTGATGACGAGCATAGCGAACAAGACACTCAAAAACTTTATTCCCAATTCTTTAAGTCTATGATTTGAATCAGGATTTGCCATACGCGCGATAACCAGATTTGTACCGAAATTCAACGAATACTTAAAATGCTATTTTGAGCAACACCCCTGTCTAGTATACTCACCAGCCCGACTCGGCGGCTTGCTCGGTGGGCCTAGCATTCCGATCGGGGCATTATGCTGTTGGACGTGGATCGGGTGGGAGGAAGAAGATAGTGGCAAAATTGGAGCGCCGACGCCGATCACCGGCCCTGGAAAGCAGCGTTCGTAGCTGGCTGATTCGCGAGAGCGGACTAGAATCGGGGAGGATTAAGGGGAACGGGTACTTCAAAATTTCTTAAATCTGTCTCTCTCTCTCTCTCTCTCTCTCACTGTCTCTTTATCTCGCCCCTTTCTCTCTCCCCTCTCTCTTACTCTCTCACACTCTCGCTCTCACTCTCTCTCTCTCTCTTTCTCTCTCTCTTTCTCTCTCTCGCTCTCGCTCTCACCTGGCTGGGTCGCAATCTGCTTTGTCAGACTAGCTACAGTAGATGGATCGGCGCACATCATTAAGGTACGACGCTCATTTTCCTGAAAAATCGATGTGTTTATTTTGAGACCTGAAACGCCGGTTTTCTCTAGTTAGGGTTCCTACAAATTTCTGCGAGCCTGACCTACCTGCTTCATCTGGCTGAGTAGGGCTTCTCGGTGTCTTCTGACCGTTTCGATTTCCTCACGGGGAGCTCGACCTTTCTCAAGCAGGGCCAAATGGGCATCTTTTTCTTGGATGGCTGCCATTAGAGTTTCTTGTCTAAATAACACCATATTGTGTGGAGAGAGTGAGAGAGAGAAGGATATTGGGTGAGAGAAAGAGAGTCAAAAACACTCACTTCAACTGCAATAGCTGCTCAACATGCTGTCTTCGTTCGGCGTCCATAGCTCTCATCGTAGCTTCCCTATCTGGTCCTCCCGTATCTGCGATTTTTCTCCTCAACTCCTGGACCTCACGCTTTGAGTCGTTGAGCTAAAAATAAGCAATAACAGTAATTAATTCGGAATCATAGTAGGTATACATTAATGCGTTAATTACTACACACCTGCTGTGAGATGTTATGCATCAAGTGCTTCTGCTGGGCCAGATGGACCTCCCGCTCGGCGGTGATCGAGACCGACTCTCGGAGGGCTTCTTCGAGCTCTTCGATTCTAATTAAAGATTTTTATTGTTATCTTAAAACAATATTTATTATTTTACTAGATCAAATCCCAGGAAAAGTGATCTCTCTTAATCTCGAGATTTTCCAGCCGTCTTTTTCATAGACTTTGTGTTTCTTTTGCGGTTTTTTAACTTGCATAAAAGCTGAAAATAATTCATTATATCCAATTTGTGTAATTCAACAATTATATTAAAAAAACAAAAAAACAATTATAATCCAAAATTGAATAAATTAATTAATGGTTTTGAATTTTTTTAAAAATATAAAAACATGTATAGCCACCTCTTCTGGAACTGGCTGTGCTGCTGCACCGGATTCGACGAGACGAGCCCTGTCCTTCCATCAACTTTCACAGCGCCTAAATAAAAAAATTTAAAATGCGGAAAAATACAACATCCACCCAAAAAAACCAGAGCCACTAACGAGATTCAGGCTCTGCAAATATATAGTAGTATCGACTAACTAAGCCTCGGGAAGAAAAACGGGGCTCTAAACTACAGTAAATTGCTCCAAAAAAATCGTGGAAATCCAGAAGGTACAGTAGAGGAGGCGGTCTCGGGGTATACGGCAATTCACAAAAGTTTGTGGATTTTGATACCGTATACCCGTTCTTTTGGAAAATCACCCATAAACTTACCGTCTGGAGTTAGCGGGTCTCTGGCTAAATCGAGGGGTTTATGATACGTTTTCTAACTAGTGTAATCGACATAAAAATATAATGTACAGAGGAATGTAACGGAATGATAGGCACGCGCACAAAACGACAACGAGCAGAGTAAGATTTTTCACTAGATTTTTTCATAGCTAATTCCAAAAATTTTCGATTAAAGGAACAGGCATTCCAATATTAGATCAGTCCCTTTAAAGTCTCAAAATTTAACTATTTTTAGTTGTAAAAAATTGTTGTATTATTGCAAATTCACGAAGTTACGGCATAGAAAACTAAATAATTGTTCAGTTTACTATTGTTATACTGATTTTATTATTTTAGACTCAAAAAGGCAAGAAAAATCGGAACTTTTGAGAATTTTGAATTTGCATGAAAAGTTCGAGGTTTTTTTTTGTTTGTAAAATCCAAGCCATCCCAATACCCACCATCTCTATCCACCGTCCCGCGCAGCTGCTTGTACTGCGAGACAATCTGCGCGTTTTCCTTCTCCAGGGCGCGGACCATTTTGAGCAATTTATCCACTTCGGAGCGAGCGACTTCCACCTTAAGTAACTTTTTGTGGATGTGCATTATTTTTCTAGAAATACAATATCGCAGGCGATTAATGACAATCCCAAAAAACCTGCTAATAAAATTGCTTTTGCCCGAATGAAAACCATCTAGGCATGGCTAGCTAACAGGCGAAAAATGTGAATGTTACAAGAAAATAAAGACAATTTCGGACCTCGGAAACGGCTCTTCCATTCATCTAAACTTAATATGAATTTTAGGCCATATTGATAAATGAAAAATAGGTATTAAAACACGTGGCTCACCTCTTTTCTCAACTCGTCCGCTCCTTTATCGACCATCGCAGCTTGGAGGCGATCTTTGGCAGATTGAACTTCCCGACCCAGATCGCCGATCTTTTCGTTTTGAGATTCGAGTAGAATATCGCTAAAGTTATAGTTTTATTATTTTCTTATTTTGTTAGTATTTTGAATTCCGTTTTAGTGTCTTTCGATAACTTACCGATCCGTTAGTTCTTTCTGCAAGTTGTCGACTGTGCCTTTAAGCTGCTCCACTTCTTTTTGATAGGTTTCGAGCTGGAAAATCGAGGCATTAGGGGTAGAGCGGAGAGAGAAAGAGTCAGATAGAGAGAGAGCGTGAGAGAGTGAGAGAGAAGTAAGGAGAGAGAGAGAGAGAGAGAGAGAGAGAGAGAACGGTGTCGTACCTGAAGTTGCCGTTCCTTGTCTCCAGTTCTTCTGATGTCGTCGACTAACCGTTCGAGAAGTCGCTTTTCTTCGGATACTAAATTATGAAACTGTGTGAGTTTATGAAATCATAATTAAAGGGATCAAATCTCGACTCACGTTTCTCAATCTTGTCGTTGAATTCCTTCTCCTTGACGACATCTGGGTGCGAAGTGAGTCGGTGCTTCATCCGGTCGATTTCAGCTAAAAATACATAAATACTTAATGTAAATTTTGGTACATTGCCAGTGTCTAGTTAACATTAAAATATATAGCTGGATTTACTGGTTTAAAAACGTACCATCTTTTTCCCGTAGCGTATTTTCCAGGCCATCTAATCTCCCGACAACCTGGGTCATTCGCAACTCGGTCTGGCGGACCTAGAAATGTCTGGATTACAGAACGGCTACACAAATAAATTATCGTATTTTGTAGTGTAATGTACTAACAACAATTAAAAATGATAGAATTCGAATTTGTTCAGATTTTGACTAACATTTTCGAGTCGATCCAACGCCTCATGCCGGCTTTCGCGAAGCTCCTTCTCGAGCCGGGTGATGGTGGTCTCCCGTTGCTCAACGGTCTGATTTTTCGCTTCCAGCTTTTTCCGCAGCGCTTCAACCTGAGGATGTCAAAATAAGTAGGAAAAAACTAAATCCAGGACGTACATCTCCTTGAAGGATTGTATTGGTATGGTCCCGCTGCGATGTGTTATCCCGGTAGACGTGCATATGCGACTTCAGGTCCATATTCTCGTCCTCGAGGTCGCGGATTCGGGCCTGAAAGTGTTTGAGTTTATTTTATTGATTTAAATCTATGTTCCGCTAGCCCCAAAGAAAGGTTAAATTCGCAAAAAACTAAACTACAAAATTAAAAATACAATTTTTGTGAATTTTTTAAGTATCTTAACGAATTTCCATCAACAACTACGGACTAAATGATTTACACCTCAAAAACGGCAAATAAACAAACCTGGCACCCAGCCAGCTCCTGCTTACGCTCGCTGAGCTCGATCTCACTCCGCTCCATCTTCAACTTCATCGTCACGATGTCGTGCTTGGTGACAGTTTTATCAGTGAAATCCCGAGGCTGCTGGGCACGGAGGTTACGATAACGATTCAGCTCTTCCTCCATGTGAGCAAGACGCTCATTCTAAAAGCAAATTTCATGATTATCTAGCTGAAAATTGAACCAACTTTTTCATCTAACCTCCTCAAAGCTGTCTCTAGTGCGAATCGGCCACCAGCGTCCTGCAAAAGTAAGAATTAGCCGGTGCAATGGGGCGATGGGGTGAAACAGCAGCGTCAAGGTCTTTCTCCCTCTCTCTCACTCTCTCTCTCTCTCTATCTCTCTATCTCTCTCTCTCTCTGTCTGTCTTACCCCAGCATGTGCCTGCTTCAACATCTCCTGAAGGTGTTCGACAGTCTGCTCCAGCTCACGGTATCGAATCTCGTTTGCCGCCATCATCGTAGAAGGGCCCTGCTCGTCTAGCATGTTGGTCAGCTGCCGGATACGGTCGTCTCTAGAAAAATCGAGAAATTGCAAAGACATAACCAATAGAAAGAGAGAAAGTGAGAGAGAGAGAGAGAGAGAGAGATAGTAATAGAGAGGGCGAGAGCGAAGGAAAGTAGTGATAAAATACCTGGCAGCGATCTCCATCTGAAGCGCAGCATTCCCTCCAACAACACTGGCCGCACTCCCGCCGGCAGCTGCCAACATGCGCTCCAGCTGGGCTATTCGGGTGGCTTCTTCTCGTCTTAAACATGTTAATTTCTGGCTTGTTCGCGATTCCGATACCTCATCTGCCTCTCCCTCTTCAACTCCGGGCTCCAGAACTGCTTGATGCTGTTCATCGTCTGATTGAGTTTCTCCATGTTGGCCGAGTAGTCGGCTTTCAACTGTGAGAACTCTTGTTGTAAGCTCAGCCCTCCTGCCAGGTTGTCCGTGTCGTAGCGGCTACAATGTTAGTTTTAAGGGGAGCGTGACACCAAAAAAGCTTATTTTTAGGTGGACGATGCAGGTTTCAAAGGTTCCAAAAGTGCCGCCAGTTGCCAAATTCTAACAATAAGGTAACATAGCGTACCTCTCATTCCAAAACCTTGATCCGGTGGCTGTGGGATTTGATAGGGGCCCAGAACTCCGAGGTGCTCCATAGGACGACGGTTGCTGGTAGCTAAAAAACCAAACGTAAGCTTTTTAAGCGTAATTTGGTGTACTTTGTAGCTATCGAAAGCGGCTGCAGATCATCCATGGCGTCCGATAGCGAGCCGACCATGTCCATCGAGCGGTGTTGTCTGGAAAATGGTACTAGAGGATAAAAAATCTGCGTAATAATTGATTGCCTTTTTTAGGAAGCTATTTCATAAAGTTTTCGCTGTAGCGTACTTTTAGAAATCAGCAATCTTTGAAAAAACCTAAGACTTTGGTCGAGAAATGAAAACAAAAATATTTAAATTAGATGCATTCCATTAAGGTATCGAAAGCGCCTACGTAAAAATTTCTCGCAATTATTGAAATATCCTGATTACCTATCGAACATTTTTACAGTTTAAATTCGAAAAATAAAAATTTTTCCTTGATATAATTTTCGTTTTTTTTGATCAGTTTGAGCTCATAGAGTATCATTGAGGTATGCAGGTATCTACGGTATCATTTAGGTCTGGTTTCGAACGTTTTTCAACCCTATTTTTCCTCCTTTTTGAGCTCACCTCATCCCTCTGACCACAATTCTGGGGATCACTTGATCGGGTATCATTTTAGAAAATTAGAAATATTTAAAAATTGGCTGGGAGCCAAGTCAGGTCGAACAAAAGGTACAACCCAATTGGCCCCGGACCACGGGGGCTACGGGCCAATACTTTGGACGTTAGCGGGCACCAACGGGAGCTGGCTAGCGTGTGTGTGTGCTATGCGCGTGCTCCCTATCTCTCGGGCTAGTAATTGGTCTTCCCTAGGCTATGCTCCCCGGCCAAAAAGGGCAAGACGATGCCTAGCACGGACCGATGCAGGGCCTTTTCCGGCTTTTCCTCTCTTTTTTGGGGTCTTTTCCCGTTTTCTTTGTCTTTCGGAAGAATTTTTGGCCCTGGCCAGCGTGCCAGTGAAGCGAGAAATTCAGGAAGTAAGGGAGCAGGGCAGTTTGAAAATAGATTATAGGGTATAAAAGCGAGATTTTACCAGTGATTAGGCCCGTTACCAAGTCAAAAATCATCTTATTTGTTGTCCGGAAAGCAAAGCAAGTGTATTTTGTACCGTTTTACTAATCTCTTAAAAGCCTTAAAAGGGCTGTGATAGCCAAAAACCTAATTTTTCAGCAAAGTGGAATTACAATTGAATTTTTAGCCCAGTTTGAAGACTTTGATGCATTTTTAAAGGGATAGTGACAGCAAGTAAGTTTAAATGGCAAGAACACCATGCCGAAATTTTTAACGGATGCTAACCAAGAAAAAGGCAAATATCGCTTTTTAAGTAGTCTCATTTAAATTAAGTCAAAGTAGAATTCAATTTTACTCGGGTAATTTGCATTAAAATAGAGCAAAAATTTTCATCAGTAAGGGATCTGGATCAGCAATTAATTGAAAAATGCGATCAAGCCCAGTTTCTCACCTCCTTTTAATTTTTCTGAAAGAACTGGCGTTGGACTTGGAGCGAACGCATTGGGACCAGGCCATTTAGGAACCTTAGAAAATTATGTAGAACAGGTGTAAATAGTAAAGTAGCGGAATTGAAGCTGAATATTGTAGATATTAGATACTTTTGATCGAATTGAAATTAAAAGGCCGTTTGCGAGCCACCCGAACTAGGCTTGGCACAGTCTGTTTTTCGACCCCACTTTTTTGACGCCATCGGATAGAGCATGGTCGAATTAGTGGGACTGCATAGTTTTGAAAGTTTAAAAAGTTTAATTTGGGGGTTTAAATGGGCGTTGAAGTTGCAGACCCCCAAAAATTTTCTTGGAAGTTACTTAACCAACTTTGCTGAAAATTTGTGCCAATACCTAATTTTGGACGGGGACCATTTCTCTAATACATCGCAAAGCGTGAAAATGGCCGGAACATAGGAATCTCGCGTACACAAAACAGTTTTTCGAGATTTTCGTTGTGAAGGGTTGTTGGCTGCGCGCTGTAAATAGCATAGAAAGATGCGCAAAAACTTTCTGCATCGAATGGTGTATCATTTAGCGCGCAGACAGCAACCCTTCATATTCAAAAAACGCTATTTTTAAACGGGAGAAAAACTGGTACGTACTCCCGAGGTTTGCATATTTTGAAAAATCGGGAACGGGTATAGGGTCTAAAGATAAAACTGTATCCATTGCAAAAAAGAGCAAAAAGAAATTCCCTTCCCACTCGGAACTGGCGATTTGCGGGGATCGAACCCGCGATGGTTCGCCTGGGGGGCACTGGGGACAGCCGCTAGTGGGCGCCGCCATGTCCCAGGCGAACGACCCGAGTTCAATCCCAGCCCCCTCTCAAAAGTCGTATTTCTTTTTGCTCTTTTTTGCGATCGTGCGGTTGGACTCTCTAGATGGGAGTCCATGTTTTAGTTTTCATCAATATTCGATTTTTTTCTTTTTGGTAGCTTTTAAGCCCTTTTTTCAATATGAAGGGTTGCTGTCTGCGCGCTAAATGATACACCATTCGATGCAGAAAGTTTTTGCGCATCTTTCTATGCTATTTACAGCGCGCAGCCAACAACCCTTCACAACGAAAATCTCGAAAAACTGTTTTGTGTACGCGAGATTCCTATGTTCCGGCCATTTTCACGCTTTGCGATGTATTAGAGAAATGGTCCCCGTCCAAAATTAGGTATTGGCACAAATTTTCAGCAAAGTTGGTTAAGTAACTTCCAAGAAAATTTTTGGGGGTCTGCAACTTCAACGCCCATTTAAACCCCCCAAATTAAACTTTTTAAACTTTCAAAACTATGCAGCCCCACTAATTCGACCATGCTCTATCCGATGGCGTCAAAAAAACGGGGACGAAAAAAACTGTGCCAAGCCATATTGGGCTCTGTTCGCGTGACCCGCGGACGGCCTTTTAATAATGAATTTTTTAGGTGGAGTCACTGGCAAAGCGAGCAAGCGCAATTTTCAAGGATCGCAATAGAATTCAAAAATCGCGCAATTTAAAGGGATGCCGACGGCATAGTGAATCGGTTACGCGCGGAAAATAAAATGTCTCTGCGCCTCTCCCCTATGCGCGCTCTCTCCACTGTTGGCTACTTGCCAATTTGTTGATGAGGGGGGGATCGACACATGCCGTCGGCAGCCCTTTAAATATGAATGATGATGAATCTCCAATAGTGCCGAGCAGGCCAAGGAATTTCGTGGGTTCGGGCCGTTCTCTCTTGAAAAAGTGTCCACCTGAGGTCCCGCCGAGAAGCCGCGCGCTGGCTGCTGACCGTCGCCCCCCACAAAGGCAAATAAACGTAAAAAAGGCGCGCCAGCCCGCTGGCCATTTCCCCCTTTCCAATATTTGCAAAACGACCGGGGCTTAGTGTAAAAAATTGTGGGGTATGATTAGGACGGTTTAAAGGGGTAGAGGCAACATCGAAAAATAATGGAATTGTAAGAATTGCAGTGTGCCGGAAATGTGAGAACAATGATCCACCCAAGTTTAAAGAGATGGTGTCAGGAAATTGGCAAAAACCGGAGAATGTGGCGGGGGACAAAATTAATCCATTACGATACGGAAGTTGCCTCACCTGACCAACGGATTCCGCCTATTCGAGTAGCCGCCATCGTGCATGGCTTGTCGCGCGCTGGTGGGGGCTGGGCCTGAAAAAATTGGATGCAAATAAAAGTCGTGACATTGGATGAGTCCGGAAATAGGAATGGCATGAAATTCTTTGAATTCCTTTCTTCCGATTTTGGCGCCTAGCCCGTTCTCAGGCACGCCCGTTTCTTCCGGCTCACTGGGCGCTGTTCTTAGGCTCAATACAGGAATTTTGTTTTCGCTAGTTGCTCTCTAACTCGCTATGGTTCTCTTTCGCGCTCTCCCACTCTCTTTCTTTCTCTCTCTCTCTCTCTCTTGATTTTCAACATTTCTTACCTACAACATTCGAAGAAGAACTCGGCGCATATTGATGGGGTGGCGGGGGTGGAGGTGCAGAGTGGCCACCCGGATTGTAGTGGCTTGAGGAGCCATCTAAAATGCAAAAACATTTCTGAGCGGCAATTTCAAAACACTTAAATTATTAAACAGTTTCTCAAAGCCGTTAGCCACTCGAAAAAAATCAAAATACTCACACAAATCGACGGGTCTGGCTGGCTGGTGGTGGCCGGTGGGCCCGTTCAGCCACGCCCTATCCAGGGTTTTTCCTGAAAAAAAAACGAAGTTGAAAATTGGACTTCAGAGCGATATAATAAAGAAAACGGTATAATAAAAGAATATAAACGCTATCGTTTTTTATTAAATCAGAGATTAGGGTCATTTTCAAAAATTCTCTTACTCTCAAATCAAATGTTTTGCAGTCAGACAATTATAATAAAAAGTTATTTTAAGAAACCGTAAAAACAAGGCTGAAACCAAAATTAATAAATGTGATAATGAAAACCGTAAATCAGAAGAAAAGTGGTAAAATTTGATATGCAAAAGAGGGCTGAAAAAGTCATAAAACCTACGAAAGCGACCAGATGGAGTCGACGTAGGTTATAGTTTCTATAGTTTTGCGTAGCTCGTTTAACATGTTAATAATTCTGAGCTTAAAACCGCACAATTTAAAATTAATTCGAAGCAAAAATATTGCTTGAAGATGGAGCCAATTAACTCGAGGAACTCCTACTTCTCCCCGAGCCCAAATCAATGCACCTGTCTTGGTGAACCCATAAAGTATCTGGTCGGACGGGCTGACGGCACTTTTCCCATTTTGTTTCTCGTGAAAATCAGCCGAAACGAGCGTTGGTGAGCAGCAAGAAAAGGAGCACAAGATAGGGGAGACAAAGGGCGGATAATGAATGTGACAAGTGTCCGCCCCCCCCATCTCTGATCCCCTCCAAGGCTTTTCCATTGGGGTTGCCCCTCTTTTTGCCTGTTTTCTCTTGGTGAAAACTATGCCCGGCATCCATTCCATTCCACACCGCCATCACAATCACCAGGTGGCATTCCAGCGAGGGGTGAGCGGAAAAACGGGCTGATTAATTTCGACAGGGCCTGAGGGTCAAATATCGGGCCTGGGCTGATGTTATATTGATGTTATCGGATTTGGTATCAATTCATTTTGCCGAAGATTATTTTTTCGACATCCCATCTCTGTAGATGTCGAGATTCATCCCTCCAAAATCATTTTGGCACGGTTTCGTGGCGTGGGAATTTCGTTTTGTACGGTCATTTTTTTAACATTACTTTTTTCGAATATGATCCATATTGACCATGTAGAAAAGTGAAATACAAGATCATCGAAGTTTATCAAATTTCTCAATTTTCTCAATTTTCGGCAAAGTTAATATGGCAAAGTGACTTTTTCGACGTTCTAATCTTCGGCAAAACAAAAATTGCCCATGTGAGCATGCACTTCGATGGCGGGGAATCAATAAGGGAATCGCAAGGGAAAGCACAAAAATCCCGACAGCCAAAATACCGACAAGGCAAAAATCCCGATAACCAGTATCCAGACCACAAAAATCCCGACAGCCAAAACGGCCCTACACCGGCGCAGGGCATGTTTGGGTTAAGACTTTCGGATTTTGGCTGTCGGGATTATGACTGAAATTCAGTTCCAAGACCTGCCAAATTTATAAAAACACAAAAAATTCCCTAAAAAAATTCCGCCTCGGCTATTAAAAGCTCGGAAGTTCAAAGTCTCCATAACACCAGGTAATTTGGCTGCAATGCTAAATAGCTCAGAACTTAAATCCAAGTGCTATTCCGTGAATATTAGCGCATGGCAGCAGCAGCCGGGTGGTTTTGGGTGGGGGTGGCTAAAGGCTAAAGCTGCAATCCGTATGCATCCGGCTTTTTCCGTCGGGCCGTGAAGGAAAAGCCCGGGAGTCGAGTGGTGGGCCGATTGGGCCAATTCCAGCCCCACAGCTAGGGGGACAAGCACCCCGCCGAGAAAGGGTATGCCAAAACCGGGCACGCTGCTGCCCGGCTAGTTCCGATAAACGACCCCCCGGGAAATAACAATATTAGGGCAGGGAAATTGGCATATGAGCTTTGGGACTAATTTTGCAGTAAGCTCCAGAAACTACAGCTTTTTCCCTAATTCTTTAAATTTTAGATTTCCGAAAATCACTTTTTCAAAGGACAAACAGCGAAAAATTCATACTTTCGACGATGCTATTTTTGCAAGTCAGAATTTCAAAATTTTTGGTCACACCACTAATGAAAAAAGCTTATTTGCGTGTTTCGAGGTTCGAAACGTTTTTATGATATTTTTTGAAAAACGAGAACCGTATTTCCAAAAATCGGAAATTTTGAATATTTTTCTGTACCAATCGAAACAGGCTATCAAACGTAATTGTTAATTTTTACAAAAATTTCTTGTGGAATAATATTTTTTGAAGATACGACTTTAGGGAAATCGGTTTTCGACAAAATTCGTTTTTTTTCGGGAAAGTGTCTAGCGACCCGCATTTCAGGAGACAGAAGGTTAGTTGGTGAATGGTAGACAAAATCCAATTTTATTCCAAGAATCAAAACGTCAGTTTCGATGTTTTCGGATGTACCGGTAAATAATTCAAGTAAAACCCAGGAATTCCCGCCGCCACACCGGAAACCCGTGAATTAACGCCTAGGGGCCCCGAAATCCATGGACGCCTCCCAGGAAAGGCCTAAGGCCGTTCCTCTCGCCCCCACGAGACCTCGAAACAACCAGAAAAAGTAATTGAAAGGAGGGGATTTCCGTCTTCTGGGCCGCCCTGGGGAATGTCGTGGCGACTAGAGCCGATGGGGAAAGCGGAAGCCGCCGGCATTCAATGCGGAAAAGATGAAAAATGGCACCGCATTCATTTGTCGTGGCTGGCGGGACGGCGGAGACGACAAGAAAATCGAGGGGGATTTTGAAGAATGTAGTGGACTGCCACTACAGGAGGATGGAAGAAAATGACGGCGTAGAAAGCGAGAAACGGCCTTTTCGCTGAGTAAGCGGTAAAAAATGGGACATTAAGGTTGCAAAAAAGCGGTTGGGAGCCAGCGAATAATTTTTAAAAGCTGTGCGAGAGAGAATGAGTGCGAGAGACCGGGTTAGAGAGTGCGAGAGTAGGAGAGAGAGAAAGAGGTAGAGAAAGAGAGGGAAAAAGAGAGAGTGAGTGAGAGAGAAAGAGAGCGGGGGAGAGAGTGAGATAGGGACAGAGCGGTAGAGCAAGTAAAGAGTGTAGACGCCGCGGGACAGAGAGAAACAATTATTTAGCGCGAAATAACAATATTTAGGCTCAGCGGAAGAGAAAGAATTAGAGAGCGAGAAAGAGTCAGAGAGTGAGAGAGAGAGAGAGAGAGAGAGAGAGAGAGAGAGAGCGACAGAGAGAGCGAGAGAGAGCGCGACAGAGAGAGCAAGGGAGAGAGAGAGAGATAAAGAGAAAACGCGAATAAATCCAGATCGAAATGGAGAAAAGTTGGATAAGAGAGATATGGAGACTGAATCATGCAACGAGACGTGGATAACTTCAAATCAGAAACCTAGAGATTTATCCCAAATTTAAGCGCTGCTTTTTCCACTGATTAGTGTGGTTTTTACCTATCTAAAGCACTTTGTTATGTCCCTCAAAAGTCAATTGCCCAAAATTTTTACTCCCCCAGCAGCGCTCGGGGCTATAATTCATGCGGGCCGAGCCGTGTGAAAGGCTTCAACCCAAGAATGAAAAAAGCGCGTTCTGACGGCCAGCCATACTTATTCAGAGGCGCCTCCAGAAAACATAGGGAACGCGGGAGCACCACTAAAAACGACGACGCCCCCAAAAAAAAGTTGACCGAATGGCCCCCGTGAGGCCCCTCGAATCTGGAAGGCGAGTCTGAAATCCGATCCTCTTTTCCTTTCCGGGCACGCCACTGAATTATTGCTGCCGGGCGCGATGTTGCGAGTTGGGGGGAGCGGAAATGGGGGAGTTGAAAGTAATGGTGAAAGTGCCTTGGGGTAAAAATAGAATTTATATACAGAAAAAATTTCCTGGGTATGAAAGGGATAAGGAAGGCCCAAGTGGTACGAAAGCCGTTTTTTATACCAGTCAGGTAGTCGCTTTTAAAAAGGTGTACGGAAAGCGAAATCTAAGGTTTTCTCTCCACCCTAAAATATCGTAAAATGGGAAAAATCAACGGTTATTGAAAATGTTAAAATTGGGAGACAAATTGTACAGCAAATAGCTCGCAAAAATAATTTTCAGGTCAGAAATATCGAATTTGTATTTTTTCACGGCGGAAATTTGAATTCATAATTACAGGGAAAATTAAATAGGCCAAGAATGTCTTTGACAAAGGCCAGACCTAGCTGACAACCCCAAAAAAAAGCGGAGAGAAATTCTTAAATTTTTACCGCATACGAAAATAAGATAGAAAAGGTTCAACATCATTTTTGGATCAAGAATTTTGGGTATCATGGAATTCAAAATAATTTTTCTTGTAAAAGTTGCAAAAATCTGATATCCCTTCTTTAAAAAAACTCCAAAATTCGCAGCCTTGCCTCCCCTAGGTCTCACTCTCACAAATGCAAATGTTGCGGGTTGGCGCGCGCCAAAAAATGTGGGAGAAATGTGGCAGCAAGGGGTGTGCCGTGTAGCCGCGGGGGTATGGGAGTGGCCAGCCCCCCGCGCATCCAACAGCTGGTCGCAATTCCCCCTCCATTATTTATATGCAGATTTCGCGGGGCGGTGGTGGGATGGTGGCTGACTGGTGGTTGCCGCGATGGCAGCATTCAGGAGCGGCCGGAATTAGTGATGGCTTGGAATGGATGGAAATGAGTTTCAAGCGGCCTTAATCCGTAATTCACGCAAAAATTGTGATTTAAGAACCGCGAATTACAGGAAAGTGGAAAATATTATAAGTAATTATGATTATTAGGAGTTGTGTTCTTGGCCATCGAAGCATTTTAATGAAAGTAGCTACATTTTGAGCAAACTTCAAGCAGGTAGTAATGGAAAACCAAATCTAGACTTTGGAAAATTCCACACATTAATTATGCACTTGTTTTAAATTTTGAAAAAGTTTGAACAGAAACTACAAACTAGCAATTTAAATGAGAAAAAAATCTATCCGCTGAGTTTTAAAGACATCAAAAATCCTAAGAAAATGCAAAAAATTGAATTTTGGCCGTGAAAAAGGGCTTGCTAAAATTTCATGAACAACGATGGAGTCGTACAGTGAATTGAATAAATTAATTGCCTTAGACAGGCATAAAAGGCACTCAAAAACCGTAGAAGAGAATGAAAAAGCGTGGAAATTTTTCGAAACAAAAAGGGAGCTGATATGGGATCAGCAAAGACTAATTCGATGAATTCAAATCCTACTATATATAAAAAAATAGTGTCTGTGTGTGTGTGTGTGTGTGTATATTTGCATGCACTTCCGTTTGGATGTTCCGCTCCTACAGCCTCGGGGAAGGGTTTTTTGGATAGGGAAGAAACGAAAATAGGTTTAGAATGGTCCGGAATCGACTGCACAAACATAAAAATTTTGAAAAATTGTGGTTTTCGCTATTAAAAATAGGTTTTTGTAAAACCCTGTTTGTTAGGGGAAATTAGCATGCGCCGGAAGTAGGAAGAGCCTATATAAAGGGACAGAGGAGCCGTTTTTCACTTTTTTCTTGCTAAAATTCAGGAAGAAACATGCAAATTAAGGAGTTTCACAAGTCCTGGACGGGGCCAGGGTTGAAAAGCCGCGCAGCGGTTTTTTCAACCCTGGTTTTTTTGAAAAGAATAATATAGGTAAATCGTTCTAGTATTATAAAGAAAACTATCAATAAATAACAGAAAAAATATATATCCATCAATCTCGAGCAGTAGCCTGCGGCTAGCTCCTTTTCCAGGCAGCCACCCACTCCTGGAAATGTCTGCTTGTGGCTAGAAGGGGGCTCTCCCGCGCACTCCAATCGATCTGTGGGCCATTGGCTTGGGGCCCAAAATGAAGAGACGAGGAGGGTAGCATGGAGAAAGGCCTCTCTCTCTCTCTCTCTCTCTCTCTCTCAGCATGTACCCCTGGCCCTTTATGGTGGCGGATTGGGGTGGGGGAATGGGTGCGAGCTCTGGGTCGCGGTGCTAAATGTTCTCTCTCTCTCTCTCTCTCTCTCTCTCTCTCTCGCTCTCTCTCTCTCCTTCACCGCACGGGCCATTAGCCGGATTAGAAATTACTCAAGTGGAGGAACGGAGGCTGGAAATTCGGGCGCACTGCAGAGTGCTATTTAGGGCCTGGCCCTAAAAGGATTGGAGTGGAAATTGGGACCTAAACTTCGAACCATAACAACTATAAGGCGGGGAGAAAGAGAGGGAGGGCTAGTGAGAGAGCGAGAGATAGAGAGAGAGCGAGAGAGTGAGTGAGATGGACCTAGAGATAGAGAGATACTGACGGAGAGTCGGAGAGACAGAGAGAGAGAGAGAGAGAGAGAAAGGGAGGGAGAGAGAGAGAGAGAGAGAGAGAGAGAGAGAGGGAGAGAGAGAGGGAGAGAGAGGGAGAGAGAGAGAGATGGAGATAGAGAGAGGGGGGAGAGAGAAATCGAGCGAGTTGAGCTAGCTAAAATTGGAGCGAAAAAAGTCTTTGATGTCATTATCCCTTTAAAAGCGGGAAAGTAACAAAGTGACAGCCTAAGCTATAAATTAAACATTCTTACGACTTTTTAAGATTGTTGAAAACCGTTGCAAATTGTTCTCGTCACGTCATCAGCATTGTTTATTTTCCATACCACAAACAATGATAGGCAAAGGAAATAAAAACCCGAGAGTTTACAACAAAAACGTGTCAAATTTTGGGCACGTGAGCATGCCCCGTTCGGCAGCAGAGCATCGCGTAAATTAAACAAAACACGCAAAAGTGTGGATAGGGGGAGGAGCGTGCATCAATGAGAGCAGCACATTTATGGATCGCCCTCGAGGGCTTAGTTGCCAGTTGTATACTCCCCCGAAATTGGGCCTAATTGAGTGGTATACAACGTTTAATAATACATATTTATTCCATCATAATATTGACGGTACAAGCTTGGGCTTCCGGCGATTTGATATTATCCTACGCTCAAGCTCGGATCGTTGGATTATTCTCCTTTCTGGCATTCTTAATGATTCCCTATGTTTGGTCGCCTAAAGGGCCATTGAGGCCAAACATCTTGGCTACGGTATTCCTGCTATGCAAATTTTCTATCTTTCAAGCGTCGGATTATGAAGATACCGATAGTCACTGCTACGTTGGCCCTGGCGTAAGTTTTTAGCGCTCAACATTAGGAAACTCAATGATTGTAGAAAATCTGATTTTCTATTATTGCTTTGTCGGCGTTAGGCGACAGCGCATTAATGTTAGTCGGCCCTTTACTAAGATTTCAAAGGTTTATTGCCCATTTTATGATGATGGTTAATCCATCAAAAGGAAGTCTTTAAAATGAAATGCTTTCTCTTATATTTTTGTAGATTTTTAAAACGTGTTTCTTTTTTAATAATTTTTATAAAACTTAGCGTCAAAGAGAGATGGCAGTAAATGGCAGATTGCAAGATGAGAAATGGCAGTAAATCATCGCAATTCGCAAATTATTGCAGCGCTTGGTCGACACGACGGCGCCGTGCCTTGACACAACATGTGGAACATTTATCGAATGGCAGCAAAAAGCCGACGCTGCCGACCGCGAACAATACGTCGAATACATGTGCGGTGATGGACGGGGCGTCTGCGAGGGATGGGAGGAGCATGTAAGCAAAAAAGTGCCGTAAGAAACATGGCGTAAACGATGGCGTTAATTTTCCTGACAATACTTTTCTAATTTATGAAAGCCAAATCATAAAATGTTGAGCACCATTACAAAATCTAAAATTTTTGGTTGATGTACCTTTTTTTAGGTAGATTACATCGAAACATTCATTTCTATTTTATTGTCCGGAAAACGGCTTTTTTAATTTTTTTTAGGAACGCGAATTCCACGCCGGAAAAGACGGAAAAGTGCTGTATGGCCAGATGCATTGCTGCCATGGGGATTATTGTAATCGGGCATGTTTTCATCTCTTCTATTCCTTCCACTTTCTTTTTTCAGACATCTTATTTGATTTAGTAGAATTTTCTTTATATCACAAAGTGCTATAGCGTCCAAATTCTAGCCCAACAAGACGCTACTCGAAATCAGTCGGCAGAAAACCAGAAAAGACTATATAAGTGATTCTGAAGAAGACAAGGACGATTCGGAAGTGGGTTTATTGTACCATATAATCAATTCATTTCCTGAATTTGTCATCTTTATGCCTTTTTGGGTTTATTTATTGTTTTAATTGTTATATTTAGGAAACATCCACTGCGAACGAGCCAGGATCTTCTAGTTTCTGCACATTTTTCCTTGTGATTATCGCCTTGATAAACTTGCTGTGATGAAATAAACCTTGATCTGCTCGTTATGGATTTATACACAATATTTTTGTCGCTGTGTGTCGATATGTCGCCATTTTTTCAGGCGCTTCGCAATGTCCTCTGCTTCAAAGCCCTAAAGTTTGGCGAAAACCAGTTGACCCTAGCCTCGATTTTATCGCCAGATCTCATCGCCTTGTTCAGACGCATTCAATCAATTTATTTCTGGTTTCACCGATTGTTTTTCCGAATTCAAGCTTGGGTGGAACGGAAGGAGGTTCCGCAGGGATGGGTGGGTTTGGGAGAGAGAGAGAGAGAGAGAGAGAGAGAGAGAGAAAGCGAGGGAGAGCGGCAGGGATAAAGAGCATGATAAACCTAGAAACCCGTCTACTATCTAATCGCTGCCAGTCTCTTTGTATTATGGGCCTCACCTCGAAATCCATATGGGGAATATGGACCATATAATTACTACTATTGGGTCGATTCGGAGAACGAGCGGTATCAGGGCATCGGTGAGTCGTTATTAAGCCCTACTTCTCGCTACTTTATTAATATTTTTTAGGCTTCCAATACTCCCATTCTCTTCCCAACCTCACCGGCTATGAAATCATCATCTACAAGGCTTACTTCGATAATAGGTACAAAACTTGCTTTTTAAAAGTGCCAATGCTAACGCTAAAATTCGTGGAGGCTGCATTTGTGTAGCTGTTACCGTGCCTAGGAAGCGCACGTTCAGGGAGGGGCCGTGTACTCGTCCCAACGTGTACACCCTATGGACGTAGCGACCGCGCGCACTGCCTGCCCGTGCCGTGGCAGGCAGTTCCCTTCCTTTGCGGGGTGGGGCGCCCCTCGGCCCCTCACCTGGTTTTTTGCTGTGGCTGACTGGTATGCATCCGCGCCTCCCGAGCAGGGAGGCGCTCGACCCCCGGCCGCGGCAAAAATCTTTGCTTTTTTAAAAAAAGTCCCTGAACGTGCCCTTTAATGTCTCAAAAACCTCCTCTAGAGAACGGCCCCGGATCCGGTTGCACGCCTTCGTCCCGAACTGCGACAAGGTTTTGCCGGAACTGACGATTTCCGTTGAGGATAAAGCACTGACGATCGAGTCGATTGAGGCGCTGACTACAACACCGAAATTGAGTAATTTTTCGCGTTCAGGGGCTGAATCCGAAGTCCTTGTTTTCTTCAACGTAACTCTGTTCTGAAAGCTAAAAATATCGAAAAACTTAAATTTGCAGCAACCTGCCCAATTCGAACACAAGAACCTCCTGGGTGTCTTTATTGGTTCTACGATATCTCGGCACTTTTTGAGGAGGTCATCCCCAAGTAGGTAAGCGACAAGATTAAAAAACTTTGAATTTTTGAAAGAAACTTTTTAAGTGCATTTAGCTGTAGTTTTTTTAGCTAACAATCCATCGAGGCGGCTTTGGAGCTTCTATGAAAATTGATGTGGTTTCGCAAGAGTACAAGAAGGGCCTGACGGCTTGTGTCTCGCCGTTTTTCTAGTATTCTTCCATTTCGATAAGCCGCTTGGAGAGTTCCTCTGGGTTCAACGACTGGCCTCGACTATTCGTTTTCATTGAACTCGCCCAAAAAGTCGGATTTACCCATTTTCTATTCTCTCATCAATCGGCATCGCTGGCAGTGATGGAAATGCTGCAGTATTATGTGGAAAAGGTAAGTAATTCTCGATCGTTCTCTCTCTCTCTCTCTCCCTTTCTCTCTCGCTTTCTCGATATCGGCCTCACCCTCAGCTGGAAAAACAATTCAAATTCTAGGGTATTGCCGAGATCCGTGCCTGGCCCATTCTACCATACACCAACGCAGTCAGTGATTTTCATGATTTTCTAAGCGTAATTACAGTATGACTCAAACGAGCGAACCTTTTGGGGCGGCCAAATAATGGCCGAAAATTACTGCGGATTCTGGTCGAAGACAAACTATACGGCTCTGGTGGACGTGGACGATTTGTTTTATCCAAGAACGTGGGTCGATGAATTTCTTAGGTTATAGACGTTATGTGGCAGACACGCAACGTACTGCGTACGTAGTATTGTCAAGTACTCTCTTCATAAAGGTGTAATGAAGGCGCAACTGGCTACAAATCGCATATTGTAGGATACAAATTTAGAGGCAAAAACCTGGTCGAGCTGGCGGATCGGTACTTCTTGGATCCGAGAATAGGTGGGATATCTTAATTTTATGGCATTTCGAACCTCTGATTTTGTTTCTTTCCATATAAAGATGGCGATAGCTGAAATGCACATTTAAAAAATTATTATCCTTTTCAGCAAGCCTGAGCTTTGAGCACGTCGGTCTCGGGTGGCGCCCACCCCTCGTCACCTATCCTTACAATTTCACTAAGTTCATCAAATTTGAAGCCCTAAAGAACCCGATTCTGGTAGAAGAGGATCGATTCTATAAGGTCAGCTTAATTTACTCAATTTTCCAAACTATATATCTACTTTAGTCAATTTTCCAAACCAAGTACGCCGCAACTCTATGGACGCATCAGCCGGTGAAGTTCTATGAGGGAAAGCGCAACAAAATGGCGAGTGATTTTCGTTTTTAATTTAATTTTAGGCCGTATAAGTTAGACGTAGCCCTGAAAAGCCTTAGAAAATTCGTTAAACATTTTTAGGTTGATTACAAGGAAGCCGTGTACCTGCATCACCAGAAAAACTACGAAACATACGATAACCAGACGCAACCCTACGAGAAAATGGCGGATTTGACATTTTTTGATAAGGTATGTAATTTCGAAAATTGAGTTATATATTTAGAAAAGGCTAAACGAGACGCTAACTGATATGCAGGACATTTTGAAGGAAATCTATCAACATAACCCGAAGCCACCGAAATATCGGGGGAATCAGGTGGCCGATGGGTTGGCTAGATGTGGCTTTAGGTAAGAGAGAGAGAGAGAGAGAGAGAGAGAGAGAGAGAGAGAGAGAGAGAGAGAGAGGGGCGGAAGCGAGAGGGAGAACGAGAGAGAGCGAGGGGGAGACAGAGAGCGAGAGCGAGAGGGAGAGAGCGAGAAAGAAAGTGAGAGAGATAGGGATAGAGAGGCAAATTATGATTTTTCAGGGCCCAAAAGATCAATAAATGCCCAGCCCTCGGCGGGCCCTGTTATTTGCATATGAAAAACTTGGCCGAATGGGTCTACGCGCCTCCGGACGAAAATTCAAATTGGATCGTTGTATAGCGTAATAAACGTATTTTAACCGTAAAATTTATCGGCTTTAGGTGTATTTTTGCAAAGGACAGAATCCAGATTTTTTTTGGCAGCAAAAAACTAATTTTCCACTAAATGTTAAATCATGAATTTTCAGCCGATCGGTTGGCGAAAAACTTGAAGACGGTATTTCGATGATTTTTAAAGTTTCGCAAGGCTTCTAATTTTTTATTTCCACCCGCAGCTACTCAATAATTTTTGTTTGTTTGTCTATTGACTCGACCGTTGATTTTCACTTGCGATAGTGACCCACTCCCGCCGATTCTCCCTCTCATTCTCATCCCTCCCGAGCCTCGGAACACAGCGCAAAGATTTTCATCACCGCAATGAGTCATTTCGTGATCCGTGCGGCTTTGCGGTTCGTGGAAATGTCCATTGGTCCCTTGCGAAATCAGCACCTACAAATAACGGCTTGACCTCCGGAATCGTCACTCAGACTTGGTGGTGAACTCATTAAAAATTTGGTCAGTCTCGAGATAAGGTCGTTTTCACTTGTTGGTGGCCGCTTTCTGGTGTGGGTTTTTTGGGACAGCTGTCACAAAATAGCATGAAAGCCGGAGAGACCTAGGCGCTTTTCCAGTCGTAATCGATTCGCTGGGCCCAGCTGAAAAGCACGGGGGTGGGCGGAACACCGGCTTTGTAAATAGAGTTTTCACTCTAAAATTTGGTGGTTTCGGCCGGGTATTGACTTTTGTATTTCCTGTAACATTTAGAAATATGTTTTACTAATTACGGCTTACTAATTTTACAGGCTTTCCGTTTTTTTAACAGAATAGATCAAAATTCGGAAATTTTGGGCTTACAATTTTAGGAAGCGTTTTTTATTGGGGTATTTTTCATTAACTTTTGCATATCTTAACGTGTTTTCGCATTTCTGAAAATGTTCTATTTATCATTTGCCTGTTTTTTTTTTCAGAGAAATCGGTTTTTCAGATGTTTTTATTAATCCTCGGCTCGTTATTTGTAATTTGGCTAATTCAACAATTCTATTGGAAACGAAAGGATCTGCCGCCAGGTGGATTTTAATTTATTTTTTGCACTTCCTGATAAAAAAAATCCATTTTTTTTCTGACATGGTGGGGCGAAATTTCATAGCGTAACGCAATGGCCGAAAGGAGAAATATGCTGGACAGGCTAAAATGTGTAATTTTGCCCAGTTTTAGCACCATGATTGAATTCAAACCATTTTCTACTTTTCAGGGCCAACACCGCTTCCCCTAATTGGCAACGTGCTTTCTTTAGTTCGTGACCCTCCAGGTTACACAGTTCTCGGGAAATGGAGGCAACAATATGGACCCGTTTTTACCTATTGGTTTGGTAAATTGGACTTGTCAGCTTTTTCCTTTTGGTCTACTACCTCTACAAAAAACACAGTATATGTCCTAGAAGGAATTACAGTCAAAAATTGCCATTCTTTAGGACCCTACCCAATGATTATGGTGGCTGATTATCAGCTGATGAAGGACACATTCGTAAAGGATGGTGACAAATACGCAGGGAGATTCAAGAACGATACCCTGTATATTTTTAGAGGTAGTTTCTTAAAAAATTCTAACCTAAGTAAATTATCTAGGTGGCGAGTACGGTATTTTGGACACCTCGGGTGACGTCTGGAGAGAAATGCGTCGATTCGCGATTCACACTTTCCGTGACTTTGGAATGGGACGGAATATTATGGAGGAGAAGGTGAGAGAAAGAAATAGAGAGAGAGCGAGAGAGAGAGCGAGCGAGAGAAAGAGAGAAAGATAAAGAGAGAGCGCGCGAGAGAGAAATGGAGAGATAAAGATCGCAACGCTTTTTTTCAGATTCTCTGCGAGGTCGGTGCCTTCAATGATCGTCTACTGGCGCAACAAGACCATGAAGTCTCTCCACAATGGGAATTCGACCTAGGCGTCGGCTCCGTAGTCAACAATATGTTGTTAGGATACCGTTTTGATGAGGTAACTTGAGTTAAATTTTTTAATGAACTTTATTAAGCATGAAACAAGTACTAGGTTTGATTTTCAGGACAAACACGCCGAATTCCGAGATCTAAAAGAGGTGCTGACCAACCATCTCAAGGCTGTCAGTAGCGCGCCAGTGATCCTGGCCGTGACAGTCAAGCCACTGAGAAACCTTCCATTTTTCAAGGGTAAGGGCTATGCTAAATTTGAATTTCGATACCTTAAAAGCTTTATTATATCTTGTCAGGGCAGGTCATACGAAACTGGAAATTTTAGGCGCGTTCCAAAACGCGCTCCTCGTCCGCGACCGTCTCTTCGAATTCTTCGATCGTCAAATTGAGTCGAGAAAAGCGGTAATTGACTATGATTCTGAGGTATCAAAGCCGATTTCGTGGTTAATCCCCTCCTGTTTCTGTTCAGAACAATGCTGATTTCGTCGAATGCTTTTTGAAAGAAATCCACAAAAGGAAAGACGAGAAAGACGGGCATTATCAGTAAGTTCAGCATTAAATTTTTAACGTTTGTTTTTTAGTATCCAACAGCTCAAGAATGTGCTCTTCGATCTGTGGATTGCAGGAATGGAAACGACCTCAAATACGCTAACTTGGGGAATCGCCTATATTCTCAACAACCCAGAAGTCCAGAAGAAAATCATCGAAGAGTTGGACAAGAATATCGATTCCGATCGTCTAATCACACTGGCGGATAAGCCGAAGCTGAACTACATCAGTGCTACGATTAATGTAATTTTTTTGTGTTCAACTTATGAGCTTTTGAAAGAAGCATTCAGAACGAAACCATTTAAAATCGGTTTGTTTTGCAAAAATCGCTTCACCAATCATTGATTTGTACAATTTCACAAAATTTTGAGATGAATAATTATTCAAAAGCAAGTTAGGAGACTTTTTCAGGAATGCGCACAAAATAAACCCAAAATCATTTCCTTCAGGAAATCCAACGAATGGCCAACCTGGTACCGATCAACCTTTTCCACGTTACAACCGAAGACGTTACGGTAGCCGGGTACCCCATCCCGAACAATACGATGATCAACCCGCTTATTAGTGTGTTGCTGTATGATGAGAAGGTATTGGCAGCTTTACTTTATATAACCTCCGAATCTAGGTGTTCCCCGAGCCCTACAAGTTCAAGCCTGAGCGCTTCTTAGAGGCTGACGGTTCGCTGAAGAAATTTGAGGAATTTATGCCATTTTCACTTGGGAAACGGCAATGTCCCGGGGAAGGATTGGCGAAAATGGAGCTGTTCCTGTTTTTGGCAAATGTTTTCCAGAAGTTTGAGGTGGATAGAAGTGCTCTCTTTCTCTCTTCCCTCTTTCTCTCTCTCTCTCTCGCTCTCTCGCTCTCTCTCTCTCGCTCCTGTTCTGGCACACTTCTTTATATGTCCTCTCTCTATATCCTTCTTTCACTTCTTTCTCTTCTCTCTTTCTCTCACCCCTCCTCCCCCCCTTCCCCTCCTCTTTCCCCTGCATCCCATATCCTAAATTTCAGGTCTCTTCCGACACTACACCCTCCGTCAAGAAACACCTCGGAATGATCATGACGTGTGCGGAATATAAATGCAGATTCACCGAGCGGGTACGCTCCTGATCTCTGTACAGTGTAGTGTGCAATGATGATTACGGTATGTAATGATGAATAAACGTCAATTTCTGGTATCGAAACTGTGATTGACTGAGAGTCCGTCAAAAATTTAGGTGAATGCATAAAGCTTCATTTAAAAATCGCTTCAAAAACACTCAAAAATCTCCTCAATAGTTCAATCCTTGTTTCTCGTTCCTTTCCTTGATTTCGGGAATTTCATGGATCTTCTTGACGTAGGCGATGATCTGAAAAACAAAAAATACGATTGGAAAAATTGTTATTACCTCCGGGTACTTGTCCAAGAAGTTCGGCGCTGAGGTGAGCGTGATCTCCAAGGCGTTCACGAACATCAAGTCCGCCCAGGAGACCTTGGAGCCGACCGGAAAAAATATACTTAGCACACTCTCTCTCTTTCTCTCTTTCTCTCTCTCGTTCTCTTGCTCTGGCTCTCTCTTCATCTCTCGCTCTCTATAAACTCACTAAAAACCCCGATTCATTAGCTTTGAGCTGCTTGACGATGAGCGGAAAATGGTGATCACGGGTTGGCTCAGCGACTTCCTTGTACAACTTCTCCTTGTCTCTGCCTACTGCTGACCACGGCCGCATGGCGGTGTCGTAATCTTGGAGCTGATCGACCCACTGGTCAATTTGGGCAGACTCCCAGTCGTCGGCGCCGGCGAAGTCTGGAAAAGCGGAAATTCTAGGTGTCAATGTCATTTTAAACGTTCCTAATGGCTCTCTCCTAACCGGTGCTTCCATCCCTGAATGCTCTCTGTTATGGCCCCTTCCACTCCTAAATGATCTCTGTTAGCTTGCCCCTTCCATTCCCAAATGATCTCTGCTCGCCTGCCTTTTCCATTCCCAAACGATCTCTGCTAGTCGGCCCTACTCACCGAACTGCTTGCCCAAGTAGCGGTAGATGGTCTTCGATTGGCCGAGCTCTTTCCCATCGACTTCGAGGATAGGCAGCGTTCCGAATGGAGTTGCTGAAAAGAGAGAGATAGGGAGAGAGAGAGAGGGGGGAGCGAGATAGAGACCTACTCGGCTTCAATACAGCCCAATTTTCCTTCTTGATTTTTTGGTCCTCAAAGTCGACATGGGCGAGAGCGAAGAGCTGCCTGGCGGGCTCGCCCCGACCCCGGATGTCGAAGTAGGTCAGTTTGTAATGAGGCATCGCAGACAGTTTTCCTGAAAGCTTTCATAATGCGCGTTAATGGCGGGAAAGCCGCGGGCCTTTGAAAAACGGAGAATCCCCTTTGAAAACTTAAAATCTCGCATAATATTGTAAAAAAATCCAAAAATATAGAATAAGTGTTTAATTTTCCTGGTTCTCACAAACATTGTAAAAGTTCTTATGTTACTCAAACAGATTTTAGATAGGTTTTTAGCATGAAAACCAAGGTTTCATGCCGGGAAAACGGCCGTGGCGGGCCGTGTTTACTCGGTCAACATGCCAGGTGGGGCAGCCTTGGGCTTATATCGGCAATTGGGTGCAGAAACTCCAAGCTCCACTTCCTCGCGCTAGTCTCTCGCTCTCTTTCTCTCTCACTCTCTCTCGTTCTCTCTCTCTCTCTCTCTCTCTCTCTCTAGTTTTCACCGAAACAACACTCAAAGATCACTTCCGAGGCTGCACCTTCCGTCAAAAAGCAACCCGGCGCTCTCTCTCTTCTCTCTCTCTCTCTTCTCTCTCTCTCTCTCTCTCTCTCTCGTCTCTTGCCTTCCCCCCCCCTCTCCCAGTCCTTTCGCTCTTTCTCTCTCTCCTCTCTCCTCCTCTCCTCTCTCTCCCCCTCTCTCTTTATCTCTCTCACTTTCATTTTACCTCCCTCTCACCTAAAAAATACGTTTAGGTCCCTTCTAAATCCCATCCTTCCGTGAAGAAGCTTCGTGGTTTCATGATGACTTGCCCAGCCTACACCTGGCAATTTGTAAAACGTCATCGACATTTTGTACCTTGATCGAGTTACAGTATGAACCGGTGATAACAAATATAAAACTTCCTCATCATCGTCTCCCACATTCGAATCAGATCGCCCGCACTCCAGCGTCAAAGCGCAACACAGACTTCCCAATTCATGGGCACATAAAGCATGGGAAAATGGAGATTTTATGTGCTCAAATGTCGAGGTGCCTCTCGAAAGCTTTTATATCCACTTGATATTTTCTACCGGGTGTCGCCTGGTCGTCATGTTTGGATCTGGGGTTTTCCTGTTTTTTGCGATTTCCTGTACCCAAATCGGGGTTTCGCAAATCTTCAATACGGAATTTGGATCGGTACGTTTCGTTAGGTAACTTATAGAAACTAAACCCGTAGTTTTGAAGGTAATTTCTATACCTTATAGCCTAAAAAGGCTGATTTTAAAACAGCTATAAAATTTCGAGAACCTTTCTAAGAAAAAAAATAGAAGTTTTCCATCCAAAAATCTCAAAATGAAATTTTAGGGCTTCGGACAGGCCGCCGAGACCGAGCAGGTTCGCGAGAAACGCCAGTGGCTGGTACGTTCGAAAAAGCTGAAGAAACCTAAGAACCAAGGCTACGAGCTAAAAAGATATTTTTAGTCTGGTGACCTGCTCGCCTACAAGGCCACCAGACCACCTGGCGCGGTAGGTATTCCAAGTCTATCGATAAAAAACGCGGGAAGTGAACCCTCAAGATGAAAATAAAGAGAAGAGTTTGATCAACTCTTCTTTAGGGAGCTGCCCCGGCCGGTAAGAAAAATGCTGCCCCTGTGCACGCTCCACCAGCCCCGTGGCTGAACAACCCCGCACCGGCTCCGGTAAGAATAAGCTTTGAAGCCCGGATTTTTAAGGAGATCAGGAAGGCCCAGGTGAATTAGAATAAAACTGGTTTCATGCTAAAAGTTAACATACATATTCTCTGCTCCCTCTTCTCTCTTCCCACCTTCTGCCCATTTTTGCTTTAGCATTTCCGGTCGGCTCGCTGCCAATTATATATGAGCCCTGATCTACCGGACCTATCCCTTTAACTGCGCTTCCGGTCAGAAGGTTATAATCCCGTCTGTATTAGTCCTGAAAGCCAACCGGTAACGCTACGCAAAAAACCAAGAAGCGAGCGTCTCCGGCAAGAGGAAGCAGAGTCACTTTACGCCGCGTCCCCGATTTTGAGCTAATTGAAATATGCCCGCCGGAAACCTTTAAAATGCCTGTAGACGCAAATACCTAGGCAACGACCACAACGACCACAAAAGCGCCGACAACGACCACTACCACTACAACTACGACTACAACGACCACTACGACCACGACTACTACCACGACAGCGGCGCCGACAACGACGGCAAGTGTTTGGTTCCATAAATAAAAAGCTCTGGTAGCGAATCTGTAAAGGTCGGGGATGACGGATGGTCGAAAAAGCTATTAGGAAATTACCTCTGCCTTAGGGAGTCGGAATATCTGCTTAGCTCGCTTTCCGTCTAGCTCAAATCGAAACCTAACGCCTAAAAACTAGGTGGCGTGGTGCAAACCATAGAAGCAGCCGAAAGCTAGATCAGGATTCGATGATAGCAACCTGATGCGGCTGCTGAGCCGCCGGTAGCACGACCTAAGCCGACTGCTTCAGACGTGGTCTTGGGAAGAAGTTACCCCGGTCTCGTCGACGTCAACGACGACTACGACCACCGCCCCTACGACTGACGTTAACTTGGGATTGCCGTCTACGACAGTCTGGATCGGCATCCAGAGCACTAGCCACCAGGTTTGTATAAAACCAAGACGGGGAGTAACTTGGGGGGGGGGAGATTATAAGCCAAACCACGCTTGCTTTTTAGCTTGTGACCGATACATCCGTCATCCCCGTGCCGTAAGGTACGCTCTAAAATTCATACTTAAAAACTGAATCTGTATAACGATACGTTTAGGGACACAAAATCACCTTCCTGCCCTTCGCCGCTGCCCTACCGTTTAGGTAAATTTTACTTTTCGGGTTTACAAATTTTTGTTCAATTTCAGCTTCTCCTGACCGGCTTCTACTCTGTGCTACAAAGCAAAGCAAGATAAATTGTTGCATGCAAATGTAACGACAGAGTGCAAAAATATATTTATGACCTAACGAGCTGCGGATCCCATTGTTTGTCGAGTTGCGTGAAGTAGTCTTCTTGCTTCGCCCCAAGATAGAGGTCCTAAAAAATTTATAACTTTCCTATGAAATATGAAATTAACCTGTCCACTGGTCCCCAAAATTCTCCCAATAAAGGAGCCCGGCGTCTCGAGGTTGTACTTCACGACTCGAATTGTTGGGCTGAAAAGAATACTCTGGATGGCCCTAGACACGAAACCTGAGCTGCTTCCACTTTTTCCTCAGAACCTTCACCGAATCCTCGAAAATCTGCCGATTGGAAATATGGAGCAGGATCGCTAAGGTGAGCGAATACCTACAAAATGGAATTAAAGCGTCGAGGCGATATAAATACGATACGAATCATGGATCAACCCAAACAAAACTTTTGCAAACCAACTTACTTCGCATGTTGGATGGACATTATCACACCCACGATATTCCGCCAAAACCACGGCGCATCGCTGCGATTAAAGATAAAGAAGCCCCCAGCGATCACATTATTAATGGCGGCGAACCAAATCATCATGCTTATTGCCTAAACCTTTGATTTGTTTGCAGCCGAACAATGCTGACCTTTAATGCCTTCTCATTCTCCGTAAGTTGATACTTTTTGCTCAACGTGTAACCGGGTGTGGGAAGCGCGCGGAGTTGTTTCCGGTTTTGCTTGATGATGCAAAGCGTGGCCTAAAAGAAGAATAATAGTGGTGTGTTCTCTAGAAAAAGTTTCCTTCAAACAGAAGAACTACGCACCACACAAATCGTCATTGTCGATGGGATACTATAGGCGGCCGCGAAAACAGGGGTCAGGATATCTAAATAGCAAGTTATTGAATACAAAAACACAAGGCCGCAACCAGAGAAATCCAGAAGAAATGCGCCAGAATTTTTGCGGGCGGCATTGATCTAGCTTCCGCTTTAAAAAATTGGTGTGAAAATGCGCTTCGAACGCCAGCAAATGCGGAAAACTGTTTTAGAACTAAAAAGCAGCAAGAGTTTGATGATCTAACATTTGGCGCGGGGCTTTGAATTCGGCCAGAGTCTAGTTCGAACGCCCGGTGCATTGGAGCCTTGCGTAGGTCTCCCGGGCTGGGACTACTACGTAGATTTTATTGCAACGAAACCGTAATGTCATGTTTGCTTACTATAAAGGTATCCAATTGATCCCAGTATCCCGGCAACGAGGCAATAAACAATTTGTGCCTTGAAAAATCGTTCGTAGTGAACCCGCTCATAAACATGTGCTTTGTATGTGGCCACGGCGCGTTCGATCATAATGCCGCCTAACGAGCTCATAAAAACCTAAATTTTATAAGAAAATCGTAAATATGGCTAACCGTTATCGTACTGACCCGAAAAATGGAGGCAACGAGTAAGGGAACTGGGAGGTCCACTAAAAAAGTTGACATTTGAAAATCGAGGCGTCGGACCGTAATATAACCACTCGAATTGCATCTCGCTGGTATATATTATTAGCACAAAGCGAGAAATCATGAAAAAATATAGCCAGATCAACTGCAAGCGATAGAAACGTACAAAGTTAGGATGGAACGCCTGAAATACATTTCCGGGGAATTCATTTCATTTGCAAACCTGCAGTTTACTCACAATATATAGCGAAATAGGAACCATTATGCTACAAAGCGTATAAAATAATAGCTCAATTCCATAGCCTAGCCAAATTAGCGGCATTAACCCATCTTCGGTGGCAGCTGTGTAGTTTACAAAAGTTAGAAGTTGATAAGGCATAGACGGCCTGTTGGGATGTTTTTGACCGTTGTTGCCTTGAGGTTGGCTTTCTCAGCGTTGCTGGAGAATTTTCGATCCGGTGCAGGTGATTTTCGTAGAAATTAATTAGGTGATCCGCGCCAGCGGTGGACGCAAGGGCGTAGTGTGGGCGACAGCAGAAAAATGCTTGCAAGCGGAAGTTAGTTGCGAGCTAAAGAGCGCGTTCGACTCGTCGCTGTAGCACGAGCAAATGATTTCAGCTCTGCCCCAAATTTGTGATGAGATGTTCATGTCCATGACCTCGTCATTTGACGAATCTGCTTGTCGTTCCTTTGTACGAACGAAATCCTGTTCGATCTACGGTACCAGGTGTGCACTTTTATCTGTCCACAAACTATGAAATATTAAATTGAATGGCCAAGTGGATACTTCACGTGTACCAACTACTTGCACCTGTTACGACACAATTATGTTTCTTTAAAATTAGTTTGGCACGTCAGCTGTTGATCTCAGGGATGTAAGACAGCAGCTCAGACGGAAAACTTGCAGAATCTCGAAGACCAACATCTTGAAAATTGGAATCTCGAAAATGTTTACCTTTTGCCAATCATGAAGAGTTAGGATGCCGCCTTCCAACACACGATTGCGTGAAAAATAAATGTGCTACGGTCTCGATTTTCGGGATTCTAATTTTCGCGCTCTGGCCTTCGAGATTTTGACTTTCGATATCCTGGTTTTCAAGATTCTGAACTTTCCAGATTCGGAAATTTCGAGGATCGGGGTTTTGAGATACCAATTTTGCAGATTCTGATTTACGAATTCGGATTTTCGAGATTCTGTTAGCAAATAATCTCAGACTTCCCTGAGTCTAGAAAACAACTCTTGCTGCTTGGATCAAGTTCGCCTAGACTGCTTCCTGCAAAAAATTTATTGTGGCCTGAGCGGTGGCAGGTGCCACTGCGCGGTGAGTTGATGAAAATAGTCCTCCTGCTTGGCGCCCAGGTAGATCTCCTGCAAATAACAGAAAGTTCTCAAAAACCAAAAATCATCAACCTTTCCCCGACTATTCATGACTTTCTTTTCAATCTGAGGCAGGTCGTCGACGCAGCTGGGTTCTGGCAAGGGTCTGAATGAGCCACTTATCACTAATTATTAGATTTTGATTTTTGATCTCAATTTTTCCATGAAAAGACGCACCTCAGCTTTCTCCAATCTCGCAAAAGAATGCTCTTGGTGAGCTTATAAAGTCGCTTTGTCGAGATGGGCGCGAAAAACGTCATCGTCAAGGCAAATCTACAAATCGAGACACAATTGTGAAAACCCAGCACTACGTACATTACACTCCATAAAGACGTCAGCATCCCAAAAATGTTGCGCCAATACCACGACAGCCATTCGTAGCGGTTAAGCGCAAAGAACGAGATAAAGGAAAGGTTGAAGAACGCCGCCATTTCGACGAGCAGAGAGATGACCTGTAAAAGCGCCTAAAATTTTACGACAACTACCAAGCGTTGCCAAAAAAAATGCGAAAAAGTTCTGGAAGAAGTTGCACCAAACCAACCTCCATCGCCTGCTCGTTCTCTCGCAATTGGTACCTCTTGCTCAGAGTATAGCCGGGAGTCGGTAGAGCTCGAATTTTCTTCTCATTAATGCGTATCGTGATCAGGGTTGACTAAAATTTCGCTTATGAATAACGAGAAACGTACCACTCCGCCAGCCAGCGTAACCAACATTGCTAGCACGAGTCCATACGCCATTACCAACACATCTAAAGCGCAGGAAAACTTTGCTTACGAATTCGAAATGAAATACATAATGTCGAAATTTCAGCATGTCGAAAGGTCATAATGTCGAAATTTCAGAATCTTGAAATTCACATGAACGATTGCTGGAAAACCCCCGAATCTTATGCAAAAAGTTTGGATTCTTTGCATTCTTTTGTCATTTTCGACACAATGACATTTCCGCACTATGAAATTTCGGCATTATGAAATTTCGGCATTATGAAATAAAATTCCAAAACGCCAAAACTTACTATATGTGACGAGCAGCGACATCACAAACGCGAACAGCAGGCCCCCAGCGGCCAATAGGGCAAAGAGACCCTCATGATAATTCGTCTCGTAGCTGCCCGCCTTGACCGTGGCGTACCAGCGCTCAAAGAGGATCATCACGAGATTGGCTAGAAAGTAGAGCGGTTTCAAGGCTTGTAATTTGCCATACTCGGCATCATCGCAAAGACCCAACCGCGAAAAAATGAGAACACCAGAAGCGGCATGGGAATTGGATCTGAAAATCTTGATAGGCTTTTCTTAGCTTTACAGGGTCCGCAATAAAAAAAATACTTCAGCGTCGAGTTAGAGGGGGTATTTTTTTAACGGGACATCCTGTAGAACCAGACCCTGCCAAATCCATTGAAGTTCCATGCTGCTCTCATAGTAGGCCAGCACAATTCTGCTAATCGCGAATGGATAGATGCCGTACAGATTCATCGTGTAGAATCGGACCAGGTTTGGGTGGAACCACTGAACGGAAGCATCGCGCAGGTAATTGAAAAAATTAATGGAATTGCATGTCGATATCTTGAAGCTATCACCCACCGAAAGGTTGTTGACGACATGAATCGATAGGGGGGATTAAGACGAAATTCAGCGCCGAAAGAATGATCTCCAGCAAGTAGCCGACTTTGACCCAAGTCAACAGATCGTCCTCACGAGCCGCAGTGAAATTTACGTATAAATATAGCTGGTATTCAGACATCTACCGAGACTGTAAAGTCCGGCTGTTAAGTCACTCAAAATCCTAAGAAAGCGAAGACCGCTGCGATCGATAGTCTAGACGGCAAATTATCGGGACTTCAGCAGGTGCATAGCTCTCTCGCCGTGTTGTGGTAATGAGAATTCACGTCTTGTGTACAAGCGAGAGTAATTCGGTGGTTATGATGTAAAGAAAAACGGTCTGCTAACCAAAAAAGGGATGATCAATGCGTTTATGCAGAAAAAACATCATATGATCAATCAAATATCAACGAAATCAATTTTAGATTTCAAGCAGTTAAAAATATGCGGTTGGACTTCATCCCTATTGCTTGGACTTTTTGGGCAAACCCCATTGCGAGTCGAGCTGCGAAAAGTAGTCCTCGGTGCTGGCGCCGAGGTAGAGCTCCTAAGGAGAAAAATTGTTAAATTTCAGTGAAACTTGCCTGTCCTCGTGTATTTAAAATTTTCGACGCGGCATCAGTGGCCAAGCTGCTTCGTCTCGTCTCGACTTTCGAACTGAGATTTGCATCAAAGTGGTAGGAAAAGTATCCTTACCGATTCCAGCGTTTCCTGAGCATCTTTTTCACATCGTCCCAGACACGCCGATTCGACATTACGCTTAACAGCATGATCGAGAGCGCATACCTAAGAAATTCGATAGAAAAATACAGAAACCTACTGGGCGTTTATTAACGACAATGTGATCCCGAATATATTCGACAAAACGGGTGATAAAGTGATTCGATTGAAAATGAATAACAGCCCAAAGCAAAGATTGGCGACCGATACGTAGATGACGATGAAAGTGACGACCTAGTAGCGTCAACGTTCTATAACCTTTCTACCCTACCCTACCTGCATAGCTTTCTCATTCTCTCGTAGCTGATACTTATTGGTCAGCGTATAACCTGGCATCGGTATTTTACGTATCTTTTGCCGATTGATTCGGAGCGCTGCCAGCGTCGCCTAGGCATATTATTAAGGTTTCATAATCCCATACCGTTGCCGCCGAAGTGCTGCCGACCACGCCGAGCATGCCGGCAAAGCTTGGCGAGATGACACCTATCCCCAGGCTGAAATTTATTAGAAGAGCAACGCCTACCCAGCACGAAGAAACATCCCATCAAACCAGCGAAAGCCACGCCGAGAAACGTTAGAAAGATAAAGAACCATCGGTAATGTACGGATTCGTAGCTGGCGGCCATAATCGTTGCGAAGAGCCTCTCGAATAGTATTCCGGTAAGGGTGGCTGAAAGGTTTTATCCTATAAAGCCCAAGTTCAGGGATGGGCCGTTTACTCATCCCAACGTGTACACCCTATGGACGTAGGGACCGCGCGCACTGGCTGCCCGCGCCGTGGGAGGCAATTTCTCTCCTCTACGGCGTGCGCCGCTCCTCACGCCCTCGCCAGGTTGTGGCTGTGACTGACTGGTATCCATCCGCGCTTCCCAAGCGGGGGCTCGGGTTCGACCCCGCTCGCGGCAAAAATCTTTGCTTTTTGCTTTACAAACGTGCCTGAACGTGCCCTTTAAATAAGTTTTAAAAACCGACTTGGCATTAGCGCATATATGAAAGCCCGAAAGAATGAGGAAATGATTAGCGGAAGCGGTTGAGGTCCTGAAAGCGCCATTATTGTTGACAAACTGTTTTTCATTTGAAGTCGCTCCACTCCCTGACCTGGCCATTCCCACATAAACTCCAAGCTGCTCTCATACAAAGCCAAAATAAAGCGCGAAATGGCGAACGGGTAAATGAATACGAGGTTCACAGCGAATAGGCGCACCAGATTTGGATGGAACGTCTGGAATTATCGTATTTGCTTAAAAGACCATAGATTTTCGAAGTATATTTTCCTAGCTACCTTTCAACCTTAAACGTACAGGCAAATTGTGCATGACATAAAAGATTATCGGGGCAAGCAGCAAAGTCCCGGAATAGAGAACAATTTCGACAAAATAGGCACACCAAACTATTGGCCCCATGCCAAGTTCATCTATAGAAGTAAAGTTGACGAATATCATTAGCTGATACGGTCGCCGCATCCTAGTGCTAATAATCAATAGGAAAAACTCCTCTCGTTCAGCTTGTATTGAGCAGCTAAAAAGGTATAGGCCTTCTGCGAAACAGGTGTTTTTCTCGATTTTTGGTGCTCTTTTCTTTGCGATTTCTCGTTCTCATGAATGGCAAGCGCCGCTTTTCAAAGATTGCCGAAATCAATTTTATCTCAAGGAGTTATTTCCTTGTTTTTGTAGGCGGGTGCCACTGCGAATCGAGCTGCGAGAAGTAGTCTTCTGTCTTGGCACCGAGGTAGAGCTCCTAAACCTAGATTAAGAAGGAAAAGAACAAACTTGCCTTTCCTCGCGTGTTCGTGACTTTCTTCTCATTCTCCCGGGAGCTAATTTTACCCGTCTCCAGTGTAGAACTAAATTGAAGATTTCGAGCAACAACACTAAATCTCACCCAATGTATCTCAATCTCCTGCGCAGAAGCTTCTTGATATCGTCCCAAACCCGGCCGTTCGACAAGGCGGTCAGCAAGATTATGCAAATGCCGTATCTAAAAGAACTTTTGAAGAAATGTGAAATTTACTGGGCATTGATCAGGCTCAGCATAACCCCAAAAATATTCGCCCAATAAAGTGAAAACTTCATGCGATTGAAGACAAACAAAACACCGAACGAAAGGTTGACGATCGAGGCGTATATGACAAGGACGGAGATGACCTAAATCAATGGCAGAGAAAATTCATCGAATTTCAATTGAGGAAGTCTTCCATTTGACTTACCTGCATGGCCTTTTCGTTTTCTCGCAACTGATATTTATTGCTCAGTGTATAGCCAGGCATTGGTAATTTTTGAATCTTGTGTCGATTTATCCGAACCGCTACCAGTGTTGCCTAAAAATTGCACGTAGCAAAAGGCATTAGGCAAAAGCAAGGATAAAATATATGTAAACCAGTGGAAAAAGACCGCTTCGCGGCCATTTTCCACTGGACCCCGTCCAGGACCCATGCATTCGAATACATTCTTTTTTTACCCTGCGGCGCTAGAACCTGCGTCAGGGAGCCATTCTTTGGCCTGCGGCGCCAGAGCCAGCATTGTGCTCGAATCTTTGAGCCTGCGGCGCTAGCTACTGGTTTTTCTCCAGGATCTGGCCTGCGGCGCGAGAGCCCGAGCCAGGGGCCTTTTCTTTGGCCTGCGGCGCTAGAGCGAGAGCCAGGCTTAAACCTCGCACACCGAGAGCCTAGAAATATGTTTCGTTACCTAACTACCAAAAAGCAAAAAGTTAAATTCTCACAGGAACCGAACTCACGACCACGTGCGTGGTAGACCGAGAGCTAAGCCACTACACCAAGGGGAACATGGGAAGAGGCGGCGGGAAAGGCCTGTTCTGTCCTAGGGGGAGCGGGGGGGGGGGCGGCAAAGATAGGGGTGACCAATGATCCCGGAGGGAGGCCTGCTCGTCACTTCACTAAATTCGAATTTTTAGTCTGAATCTGTGGAAAGTTTTTAAAGATAATAAGATGCGCATGATCCCCACCCTTGGTTGCATAAAACGGTCCAAATTTCAGCCCGAAATTCCATCAGGGCGTCGAGTTATGGCCTGGACACCACGGCCCGTGACGCGATTTATTAAGGACCTTTCAGAAAAATCCTTATAAAAACTTTATTTTGAAGAATTTAGCAAAATCGGAAAAAATGTATCTGGGGAAATACTTTAGCCATATACCCTCCAAAGATGAGGGTCCAATTCCCTCTAGGGGCCGAGAAAAGTTCCGGACAACGTGCGCACCCAAAAATGTTAAGGATTTTTCACCTTTTTGCTTGTAAAATCGTTAAATTAAAGAATTTTGAAAAATCCAAAAAACCGTTTTTTATGAATGGTATTTCCCACTGCCATGCCAAAAATCAGCTCGAAACTCGGCCTGACGGCCGAGAAAACGGCCGTACAGAAAACAAACATACTTTTCTCGCTTATAGGTTAGGATTAAACTAAAGTGTCTTACAATCGCAATGCCGGTACTGCCGAAACTACCAAGGGCAGCAGCAAAACCCGGTGACAAGATGTCTAAATTTCGCAATCCAGATCAGTATCCCGAGGTACGTACTGAACACGAATAACGCCGATATAAGGCCGCAGAATAGGAAGCCCAGCGTCGTCAAGCCTATAAAGAATCCTCGATAGTGCACGGATTCGTAGCTGGCGGCAAAAACCGTCGCAAACATTCGCTCGAACAGCACGCCAGCGAGTGTCGCTAAATGTTTAGGTCGTAATCTGTAACTTAATGTTTTGAATGGTTTCCAAATAACACACTTGGCATCAGTGCATACATCAATCCCCGAATCACGGAACATACGATGATTGCCGTGGGCTGAGGTTCTAAACATGTCTTGATGCGTTATGGCAACCAGGCCTATTACCCATCCATTCCCAAGCGAATTCGATTTCGCTTTCGTAGGACACCAATATTATTCGCGCAACGGAAAAAGGGATAAGGTAAAGAAGAGGTGCATCAATCCACCGTGCCAGGTTTGGATGGAAAGTCTGACATGGTTCAAACCAAAGTGACCGTACCCGAACCTTACCGGCAAAGCGTCCATAACGTAAAGAATCACCGGGAGCCGCAATAGCGATACAACATATAATACAATCTCAATGGCATAGCCGCACCTAATGATAGTCCACATCTCCAGCTCGTCTACTGTTGTAAAGTTTACAAAAAAGAAAAACTGGTATGTTCTTGGCATAGCCATGAGATGCTGATCACAAAGAGCGGTTTATTTCGGGTAAAGTGGCGATCGGAATGAAGCTATTGATTCTCAATGCAGGCAGGTGTTTCATGCAATTAGTCTGGTCTGTGTGCACGTGGGGACATAGTTCAATGTTCTATTTCTAAAATTCATTCAAGTTTCCGGGATCGGGACTAATTTTCATGGAGTGTCCAGTTTCGGAGTTGCATTAAAAATCTTGATGTGCTGATCATAGGCGCTAGTTTCCACTGAGCATGTATTGACCGCCACGCGGGAGATATTGCCAACGATGAGCGCTTATGTTTGCCACAGTTAAGTATGCTTTTTGTAAAGGGTTTATTAGCGAAAGGCATCATTTCCATTGGGCATCCAGCTGGGAAAAATAGTCTTGTTGCTTGGCACCGAGGTAGATGGCCTAAAAATATAGCTAACAAGGGAAGTGCAGACCAGAAAATCGACACGAGACATATGGATCTGATAGAATCGGATACGGGGATTCCGAATCTGTAATCAGAATTTGCTAAATAAAACGGAGAAAAAAAGTTATGAAGCTGCAAAGTTGGCAAAATCGCCCAAAATCGGACTTTTATGGGCTGTAAAGGCCCAGGGAATGTAAATTTGCCACAACCCATCAGTGCATCTTGTTCAGCAGAAAAAGCGCTTTCGAATGAGCTATCTTACTTCAAATTTACGATGATTTCGCGGAAATCTCTTCTATGAACTTGGCAGGCCATACCCTTGCCCGTGAATACAAAAACACTTTTTTCAGTGAATTGTTTGCAAATGTTACGTATTACAGCTCATTCGAAAGCGCTTTTTCTGCTGAACAAGATGCACTAATTCTTTTCTCCTCAATTCCGTTCCCCCGGTTTTTACGGGCCCTTAAAGGTACCGTTTTTGGCGATTTGGCCAACTTTGATGCTTCATAACTTTTTTCTCCGTTTTATTTAGCAAATTCTGATGACAGATTCGGAATCCCCGTGTCCGATTCTATCAGATCCACTATGTCTCTTGTCGATTTCTCGTGGGCCGGTCGTGCACTTCCCTTGTAAGTTAAGTTACATTAAGACAAGATCAAAGTTCATCAGCTCAGTAAAATTAGAGCCACTTTTGGCATTGGCGAAAAACGAGTTTTAGTCATCTTTCCTAAAGTCATCTTTCCTAAAGTCATCTTTCCTAATGTCATTTTTCCTAAAAGTCATCTTTCCTAAAAGTCATCTTTCCTAAAAGTCATCTTTTCTAAAAGTCATTTTTCCTAAAAGTCATCTTTCCTAAAAGTCATCTTTCTTAAAAGTCATTTTTCCTAAAAGTCAATATTTCCAAGTTGAATTCTTTGGTCAGAAAAATTTTTTTGGAGAGGCCTCGGCCCTAAAATTGTAATGTCTCTATGCCGTACTAGCTCTTTTCGGGATGTGTTGATTAAAGTTCTTTGAAGTCATAAAACTATTCAGAAATCAAAAAATAGGATATGCTCCGATGCGACTAAGAGCTTTTATGAGGACTGACGGCGTTCAAGACATTTGGCCGTTTCAATACAGCAAGCTGGTTTCAAGTTAGGCGGAGGCGGCATCCCTATTCGCATACCTAACTTCAGGAAAAATTAATCTTCGAAAAAATGATTTTTAGAAAAAAGTGACGGAGGAAAAATTATAGTAAACGACCAGCGCTGACCCCCCGCTACGCGGCGGTTCGGCGCTGCCCCGCCCCGAAAAAAAATGAATTTGGAATTTGAATGCAGGATTTGGCTGAATTCCCGGTCGCGCGAACGGACGGATATTACAAATTTATATATAGTAGATTACTTAGTTTTAGGAAAAATGACTGTTAGGAAAGATGACTTTTAGGAAAGATGACTTTTAGGAAAGATGACTGGGATTCGCCAAAAACATACCTTCCCGTTGACATCCAGCACCCGATTGCTGTCCCTGCGATGCCTGGCCGCTGCCAAGAGGTGCTTGAAGAAAAGCCCATTGCTAAAAATAGTTTTTGCGATCGTATTCAACATCGAACTAACGTAATTTCGTGTATCTTGTTTGCTGCGATCTGCATCGCCAGCTTCTTCATTCGCTGATTTCCCAAATATCCAACAAAGCTACACATGAAGACGTAACTGAAAGACGGTGGCTACGATCCTGATTGTGATTCTTACATATCGGTGAAGGCGCTGGCTAACACGCCAAGGATATTCCGATAAAACCACGGAATCGGCAGTCGTGTCCCGACAAATAAGACGGCGAATATAAAGTTCATGACAGTGCAGAACCATGTGAATAGATTGAGTACCTAAACTGGGATGTATTAACCGTGGCTTAGCCGTACCCTTAACGCTTTCACATTCTCTGTGATTTGGTAGCGACGTGAGAGGCTGTAGACAGACTGGGACAGCTTCGTGCGCTTCCGCTCGTTGATTCGCATTACTACTTGTGCACCCTGAAAGGACAGGCAGTGTATCAGGAATCCCAAGATATATCTGTGAAATAAAAAAAAACCCGACCACTGCCGAAGGAAACATGATAACCATGACGATTAGTACAGACGTGTAGAGCGTAAAAACATCTAAACTTAAAGCTAGGAAACTCAGCGACGTTGCACCCGGCTCTTACAAAACTTACAAAATGTAAAGCAAGCAGCCAAGCATATTGCAATTCCATAGATGACAATGCAAAATACGTTAAACGCCCGGGGATAGTATTGGACTTCATATGTTGCAGCAAGCGCCGTTGCCGCCACACGCTCCAGTAAAATCCCGGTCAGCGTGGCTAAAAAGCAAAGAATTCCGGTGCGTGTGCTTGCAATACGGTCATGGTCAGCACTTTTTTTCTTACCTGGTAAAATGGCCAAATGATTGGTGCGTAGCTGTGATGCTACGCATAGCCAGGCGGGAGGATCTAAACTTTTTTCTTCACGCGACACAAGCCCTTCAACCTTCGATCAACCATCGAAACTCGTAGTTCAGCTCATAGTACGCCAGCGGGATCCTGGAGAGCATGAATAGATAGGCGTAGAGAATGTTTACATAGTACAGCTTGGTGACGTTTGGGTGATAGGCCTAAAAAGAAACGTTCAAAAACGGCAAAATCGGCGCGAAATTGGTTTCTTTTTATGCCAATCAAAAGAAAATTATCTATAGGCGTTCTGAAGTCGATAGCTCACCGAAGAAGTCGTCAGAATGTGCATGGTCATTGGTATGCAAAAAATCATGGTGACCACGGCAAATCCAGCCTCAACGGCGTAGCCAACCCAGACAAAAGTCATCAAGCCATCTTCTTCGGCTGCCGTCATATTTACGTAGATCAATGCTTGGATTATCATTTGATGACTGAAAAAAGGAAATATAAGGTGAACAGAAACACCATAAACGTGAAAAAACATTATCGACAATTTGCGTTTCAGAAAGTGATGCGTGGCCCGAATGGAGCAGCGGGGGCTTCCACGATATCCAGGTGAAAACCTTAAGCTGAATCCTGCTAATGATTGAAACTCGGGGGCGGCCGTAGTTATGTCGGGCCCATAATTGTTGTGCCAGATCATTTGAGGGAGAAATAGAGATGTGTAGCGAGGGCCCTAGCCGGGCCAATTAATTTTCAGCGAACGTCCACCGACGAGTCCTTCCTTCCAGTCATGATTACTTATGCAACAAGTGCGCGGCGCGAGGAAATATTCGGCCGAAATTATTCAAATGAAAAAATTTATTGAAATTTTCTAGGGCAGTTTTTCATTCCATTGCGCTTCGAGCTGTGAAAAGTAGTCGTCTTGCTTGGCTTCGACGTAGAGCTCCTGAAAAGCTTGTTTAGAAAAAATTGCCAGGTCGCTGGTTAACCTACTCTAGTAGATCAAAAAACAAAACAAAAAGAGGTCATATGAGTTAGTTAGTAAGCAAAGATACAAACCTTTCCATTAATGCCGATCGCTTTTCGTGCTTTAGGTTCAAGAGGTTGAGCTTCGTGTATACGCCGCCGCCCCGGAAATAAATCCCTAAAGGTAAACGTCTGATGCTGCAGAACAACTACGTACCTAATTTCACGCAATTTTTTCATCGCGATGCCACTCGTCAACTCGTACATTTGGCGATTTGAGATGTACCCGACGTATTGCATGATGTTTGCGTAACTAAATTAAGATTGAATAATTAGGCGAAAACACTATTTGGCTAAATACCCTTGCTAACAGCACTCAATTTCCGACATACACTTTCAAAAAATTGGAGTGCACTTTTAGAAAAAGCTTGTTTGCAAATCGCTAAATTTCAGAGCCTTGTAAAAACATAATAACATCCTTCTCTGCGAGTAGTTCTTCGTTTATAGATGTATCGGAAAGCAACTGACATAGCAATATGGACATTAATAGCAATCCCAGCAACGTTGGCCCAATAGCGTGAGTCGGCATACTGGTTAAGGAGGTATAGTACGGAAAAGATGATATTCATCATTCCGGCAAAGCTGACATAGACGACTGTGCACTAAAATAAGTATATAGCGATGGAAAATCTCCCAGAAAAGAATAGGGAGGAGTTTGGAAAAGGCGCAGTGCCTGGACCCGGCTTGGGCGCCGCAACGCTACCCTGGACGCCAACGCGCCTTGAGCTTCTTGCGTTTTTTATGTGTTAGTTCTCTAAACTGTTTTTCTTAGTGCTTAGTGCTTTCTTAGTGCCTAGTCTTAGTTCTTAGTTTCCTAAATTCATTCCGAACATACCTTCATAGCTTTGTGATTCTCAAGTTGTTGATATCGCTTACTAAGTGTATAACGAGGAGACGAGTTATGTTTGGAGCGTTCCGAAAGTACAATGATGATTACGGTGCCCTAAAGCTATATTGATTGCCAGGGAATGATACTAACTAGAGTTGCGGCGGCAGTACCGGCAAGCGCAAGCATGGCCTCGTGTAGAGGCGTGAAATATCCTAAAAATATAGAAATTCGCGCGCTAAACTGGAATCGCTTTACCGAAAGTATATAACCCTCCCACGCCGACGGCGCAAAAATAGTTGCCTACGATGTAGGCGTCGAAAAACCGAGGGTAATAATAAAGTTCGTAAGTTGCAACCTTAACCGTAGCCACGATTCGCTCGACCAGGCATCCTATTAGGCAACCTGAAATTAGTTAAAGATTATCTAAATTATTTTTCTAGCTTTTGCAGTTGTCACTTACAAGGTATCAGCGCAAACATTGTGGCTTGAATAAAGGTAGCTATTAAAACGTAGCTGGGGCAGAAGTCTTCTTCTAGACAATTTTGAAGTTTATACCCCTTTAGGATAAGACTACCTGTATAAATTTTTTCATATGGATAGTTTAATTCAAAATAGGTAAGTGGTATTCGTGCGAACAGGAATGGTATTAAAAAATAGGCAAAACTGTAGTAGAAGCGCTCCATATTTGGTTGAAAGACCTGGAAAGGAATTTTAGCTAGCTCGGTCCTCAAAAGATCGATAAAAGTTGTTTTTAATGTAAAAAAAGCTGGTTAGATTTCTACCAACGTACCGAGGCAACGCGTAGTACGTGGCATGCCATAGGGACGATCAGTAATGTTAGTATGTTCAAAAAATATTCCAGAAAATAGCCGAAATAAACTAAAGTCATTAGCTCATCCTCCTCGGCAGCTGAGACATTGATGAAGTTGAGCACTTGGATTTGCATCTGTAATGCTGTAAAGTTACAGTATACGAATAAAAGGTCTAAACCAGTAAAGTAGCGCAATGACAAAGGTTGATGACATTTTTCTTCGGAAAGGCCTTCCGGTTCCCCAACAGGTGGGAATTAACACAAACCGGGGCAATCAGAGGTTTTAAGGCCGGATGGTGGTGGCTTGAATCGGAGATTAGACCTTTTCTGCGTGATTGTGACTTGTTTCGGAGGTCAGGAGAAAAACGAAAACAACAACAGCCAACTGTATAAAAATGGGACAAAAAGCGTTAAATAAAACTAGATCGTCCAATAAGAAACTTTCGTGAATCCTCTAGCTCTTTGCTAATAGTTATTAGCCGGCGCACCATGCGGCCCGGACCCTTTAGCCAGGTGTTTTGGCGATAAAATAAGCGGAGCATGACGTTCAAACTACAAGAAATCCAGTACCAGACGATTAAAAGCCTAAAATTTTATAAGCACGCCGCTTCACTCCGATGAAAACAAAGCAAAAATGCTTAAAATCTAAATTCTAATCCAATTTTCTTTATTCCAGAGTAATTTCGTTGGGGGTGGGAATAAGTTTGTTTTGGCTACGTCTCCCATCCCTAGAAGTCCATTGTCAATTATGGGGTGAGTAGGGAAAAACAAAAACGAGGCCGTGTCATCAGACATTTTATCAAAATAATCCGGAAATGCTAATTAGTTGCCGTAATGATTAAATCGAGCTTGCTCGGGGCTGATACGCCCATTGAGCGTCGAGCTGCGCAAAGTAGTCTTCTTGCTTGGCGCCGAGGTAGAGTTCCTGAACTTATTTTGCTTGGATGCGTGATGAATTGTTAGAATCAAAAAGTTAAAGGTATAAATGTGACTTTCCAGCGTAAATAATAAGAAATCTCAATAGCTTACCTTTCCATTGATTCCAACGACCACCTTCCGGGTCAACTTACCCTCACCGCCTTCGCCGACTTTTCTGGCGAAATAGCGATAGGTTTTGGGGCTGATGATCTTTCTAAAAAATGGTATTTAGCAGGAAATGAGCGTCAAAGATCGATCGATAAACAGAAAAATTCCTACAATAATCTGCCCAACTCCTTCCCAGCCAATTCACGCGCGATTTTCACCATTCTCGGGCTGCTCAGGTAGCCCATAAATGTCATTGTCCACATGTAGCTGAAAAGAAATTTGGTATTTGTTGCATAACGTTCAAGACTTTCTTAAACTTACAAAGCATTATGGACCATCATTAGCACGCCTAAAATATTCTTCCAGTACCACGAAAATACGTTTTGATGCAACACAAATATCACGCAAAATATAACTGCCATGATTGCAGCGTAGCTGGCCAGAGCCGCACAAACCTAAGAATTTTCAATGCGTTGGAAAGAGAGAGAGAGAGAGAGAGCGAGTGAGAGAGCGAGCGCGAGTGAGAGAGATATAATCGAGGAAAAGACAGAACGCCACCTTTGCTGCCTTCACGTTCTCGTACAATTGGTATCTCTTGCTCAACGTGTAGTCGGCCGGCAGTAACTCGCGCTTCTTCTGGTCGGTGATTATAAACAAATAAACACTGCCCTAGAATAAAAACGTGATCTGCCGGTTTCGAGCAAAATCGTAGCCGAAAACCTACGCTCGTTGATACAGCTGCGGAGACGGCCGCTATACATGCTTCATCCATCGGGGAGAAGAAAGCTAAAGAAGAATTTTAGAGATCAAGGCTTCTTTACGTTTTTTTATATAGATATACGTTTTTACGTTTTTGTTATACTTCAGCATTAAACACTACCTAGCGTATATGCCGCTCCGACGATAAATGCCGTACAGAAGGTACCAGCACAATAGAGTGACATTAACCGCGGATAGTACTGATGCTCATAAGTGGCAACTTTTTGATGCGCGAGTAGTCTTTCGCCAAGCACGGAAATAAGCGTGCCTAAAGTTTAAAGGAATCAAAACGATGCAATCAACGTACAAGGTATCAACGCGTACATCGCCGACCGAATTTGGGTCGAAATTACGAGCAGGATCGGGCAGTCGAAAATATCTAAAAATATACCACTTTCAACTTTCGGTTTCCCTTACCTTCATACACCCACGCAAATTCTATTACATTTTCATAGTACGCTATTGGAATTCGTGCCAAGGCGAAGAAATATGAGTACAAAATGTCGATCCTGTAGATGCGGACAATGTTGGGATGATAGACCTATGAAGCATCGTTTGGATACAGGATATTAGCGGTTACCCCGGATGCATCAATGACATGTAGCGTCAGAGGGATACAGAATGCCGAAAGAAGATAGAAAAAGGCTTCCAGGACGTAGCCGACGATAAGCAAATCGTAGAGACCATCTTCGATGGCTGCCGTGACGTTGACGAAGCGCATTACTTGGAGGCGCATCCTGCCAACTTTAAAAGGGTCAAACGAGGTATCACCTAGGCAAAATTTTGGAAAATACAGAAAGTTTGCAAAAAGCAAGATGGTAAAACAATGAAAGGATGCCAAGTTCTAGCAAACCTGGATTAAGAAGTAAGTTGGAATGTCTCTAGGTAGACAACTCGTAACCGGATCTTTACGAATGTCACCTGACGGCTGTTGCGCGGGAGGAAACGGCTTGCTAGAAAGATTCCGAGTTTGGTAGCATTCGTAGCATCGATAGCAGGTGAATCGGCACGCTGGACACTAACCGGATCATTCCGGGACGTCTGCAGAGCATACATTGATCTTTAGGTCCAGATCTACGGCCTAAGCATAAAAATGTCACAAATAGCTAACGCTTCTCTAAAAACCAAATAATAGATCAAGATCGCGAACCCGAATGCGAATTTTTGAGTATCACTTGCCGCCGTCAAGGTAAACAAAAAGTCTCTGTTAAAGGGCACGTTCAGGGACGTTTTTTTGGAGAAAAAAGCAAAGATTTTTGCCGCGGCCGGGGGTCGAACCCGCCCACCCGCTCGGGAGGCGCGGATGCATACCAGTCAGCCACAGCTACAACCTGGCGAGGGGGCGAGGGGGCACCCCACGCCGCAAAGGAGGGGAATGGCCTGTCCCAGCACGGGCAGGCAGTGCGCGCGGTCCCTACGTCGATAGGGTGTACGCGTTGGGATGAGTACACGGCCCCTCCCTGAACGTGCGCTTTAATTTTCGAACTTCGGAATGTAAACGACAATTGCCTATCAAGAATTTTATTTTAATTTTAAATATTTTTTCAGAAACGAGGTTCGTTATGCGGTCTTTGCCCTGGGCTGAAAAGCCCATTGGGCGTCGAGCTGAGCAAAGTAGTCTTCCTGTTTGGCGCCGAGGTAGAGCTCCTAAACTCTTGTGTAGGTTTGAATTGCCGGATTCGGTTTGTTTGTGGACTTTGATGTTTTTTTTTAGTCCAGCTACTTTAAGATGTTTTAAAATATGCAGCCAAGCGACTTACTTTTCCATTGATGCCAACAGCAACACGTTGGGCCGCTTTGCGTTCGCCGACCTCGCCGACTTTTCTAGCAAAGTAACGGTAAGCTCGTGGGCAGATTAGTCTCCTGAAAACCTTTGAGCTCGGTTGCGAGAGTTTGCAGATAAGTCCAGAAAAACCCAACACATAAAAGTTTTTTGCGACGTTAGAGGCCTTAATCTTTTTGGTAGTGCCAAAGGTTTTCAGAGACTTTAATAACGGTTCTGGACTGTTAGCGGGGGGGGGGCAGGAGGCACACCTTTGTTTTTTCACCTATTGTGGATATATTATGTATTTTTATAGTTTTTTAGCAGTTTTTAATTGCTAGAAAGTTATAAAAAAATATTCTAAAAAATTCTGAAACTTCGAAACTTATTAATATTTTTGATATTGTTTTTTATATTTTATAGAACATGTGAAATTCTATAAAAATGGTTAATATTTTGTATAGGCCCTCGAGAATCATACGGGAAAACGTTAGTTTCCCACGCTAAAAATCACGCCCCCCCACGCTAACAGTCCAGAACCCCAATAACGTAGTACTATCCTTCCACAATTACATACAATATCCTTTCGATCTCCTTGCCGGCGATGTCTCGCGCAATCCTCATCATTTTCGGACTCGCCAGGTAGCCCATAAACGTCATTGACCAGGTGTAACTGCAACATCGGCCATTGTTATGGCAACTAGTTTTGTTTTGATGAAACCTTCGGTGACACAAACTTCAAGGTAATCCAGTTAAATTATTGATAAGCTAAATGTCCAAGAACTTTGGAACAAACTCACAACGCGTTATGCAGTCCAATCGTAACGC